TTATTAAGACAAGCCCTTTTTTATGGTAAGTCAAGTCTTTCAGGAGGTGAGCTTTGCTGATTCTTGTGGGTCCCTTCCAACTCAGAATATTCTGATTCTGTGATTCATTTTCAATAGCTAACAAGAAATGGAAATGCTCTCATTTGCTCAAACACTCTCACCTGGCCAATTTTTAGCATGTGCAACTACTTTAAATTGTGCTTCCAAATAAAAAGCAACAGGTTCCCCATAACCATTGCAGATACTGAGATGCTGCTTTTCTTTTTTAGATACTCAAATAGGTGTTAAATGATGCAAAAAAGAAAATGCATACAAAATAAATCAGTACTTTCATTTGCCACATGAAACCAGTAGTTTTTATGGAAGGATCCTTGTTAGTGGCAGGGAAGCCTAGATTTCCTACATGGTCAGCAGTTACTTACCTCAGTGTACTTCAGAGGCATACTAAGAATCGTGCAATGTAAAACTGAGGTTTCAGACAGTTAAAGCGTCTGAAGTGAACCTTCAGTAATCCTAAAGAGAGTTCCATCTTCAAGAAAAAGCATGGAACTATCCATGCTGATCCAACCTGATGGTAATAATCATATGTGTAGGCACACATGCTTCAGTCCACCTACCTGCATCCCAGCCATAATTGCACAAAACACCAAGTACATCTCTGTGCAAATATTTTATTCCCCAGCTAATTAAAAAGACCAAAAAAAAATTAAATTAAAAAAAAAATCACAGAGAGTAGCTGCTTTAATCAAACTTTCTAAGTGAGGAACATAAGGAGAGGTTAATTTTATCAAGCATGATTAAACCACTAACAAACCTCAAGATAGGATTAGTTAGCATCTTTCAAGCATTTCCTTCCTCCTAACATCTCTCTACTCTTGCCTCAATCAAATCTTGCTACTTTCTTCTGTGTTTTGAGCACTGAGCAGCAAAAAAACAGGTTCCACCAGCTGCTAAGATGAAGATGACACAACTAGCATCCCAGTTGTGTTCTAGTTTCCCTACATCTATCAAATGAAGGTTGTACAATTGACAGACATCACTCAGGAAAACAAGTAAAATAAAACAAAACTCATAGGTAGAACAGCAGTCTGTCAGATGCCCAGATAAAGTACACAGGTAGGACAAGAAAGCAACCAAAACTAGTTGAATACTATCCTAGTTTCCAGCTTTGTGGAGACTGGAGTTATTCACCTTGATACCACTGGTGATTTTACAGACTTGCAGTGCACCTACCTCCTCATTGCTCCATCTGCTGTCATGCTCGAGTTGTTCCTGAACAATTCTAGTACCAGAGATGCACCAGTTTTGCCACACCTTCTGATCAAAGCTGCAGTTCCTGTCCCCAAGCAAGATAGCTTGTTCATGGTAATATTCTGCTCAGAGACTGACCCACCCATCTATGCAGGTGAATATTAGCACTAGCATGAGAGAAGCACAGCGTCACATTCCTTTGACTATACTGCCACTAATGCACCACCATAGGATGCTTTTTCTTTCCTTATATCAAGACTATTTAATATGTGTAATGATCTCCATTGCTCTTCCTCCACCTCCCTGATTAGCCCAAACACAGTGCTGCATGCTACCCAAGGAAGAGTCCAGAACTGCAATAGAGAACAGAGTACTCAAATTTGGACAAAGAAAGGATTAATATAATGGCATAATGTGGTCTTTTATTCTGCCTTTCATTCCTTAAGTGATAATTTCTACTACTCTATTTACTTTTTTCTTTCACTACATCTTGAACTGACTTTTCAGAGTACCATGCAGTGACTCTCAGATGTTTTCTTCCTCAGATGCTGCAGAAAAACATAAAAATGGCATTGCTTTTGTATTTCTGGTAACACAACATGCAATAAGAGCAGCTGAAGAATTACTGAAGCTATGCCAAAAAGATGCTTACTTTGCTACTGAACACAATTTTTATAAAAACCAGGACAAAACAGTAGCTTAGAAGAGCAAGGCAATACAGCAAAACAAAATAAATCAGCAAAGCAGTTTACATGACAAAAAATATTCACTGACACAAATATGGAACAGGTAATATTGTTTCTGAAGTGACTAAACATAAATACTTTACTACAGAACACAAAAGAAGAAAAGTTTATTTTAACCATTTGTAAATTTCTTCTCAGTATCCTCAAGAGCAAATCTGGGAAGAGGAAGAAGGTAAACACTCCAAGTATCCATCAATTTTATGGTACAGAGTCAGCACAGGTGTAAGCACATGGAAAATTTTTATAAGCACATGGAAATATTTGAGATATTTTTCATTTGAAAAAATAAAACTCTTGACTTCATAGTAGAGAAACAGTTGTCAAATAATTTTGCTAAACCATGTAAACTTTGCTTCTTAAGTCTCCATTATCTAGAGTTTGATTACTCTTTTCAGAGGGCTTTCAGGTTACTTAAAAAACCCTCTAATCTGATCCTGTTCTGTCTGCTGTGAAGAAACAGTACGCGAAGAACACAGGCTTATCACAAAGTCAGGTCAAAACCTAGGGAGTGACTGTTAGCTATCACTCAAGTGTCAGGAGAGCTTAAATATTTTCTTTGGGCATGAAAAAATCTTGTAAGTAGGAACAAGAGATCGGCAAGGAAAGAGAAACCTCACGAGGAGCAACAGCTCTGCGCTCCAAGATCTCCGGATGGATGAGGCCCGTGCAGCTCTTACCAGTTCGTCTGATGCTCGCAGGGGATTAAATTGCGATTTCCCGGTCACTGATTTAAATTTAATTTGCTGCCGGTCACTGCCTGCAGCAGTAACGCTCTGAGACCGCCGAGAAAAAGTGACCCCAACTCGGTACGCCTCCGCAAAGTCTGCCGGGTCCGAGAGACCCGGCGGTTCTAAGGCTGAGCCCACTTCTCCTTTCCCTCCAGAGCCCTCAACCTTCTAGCACGAGCGACACAGCAGCCGCTCCCGGTTTTCCACGCCGAAGGAGAACGGGCAGCACCGACGGACGGCGGGCACAACCCAGCCCTCCGCGAAGGGACCCCCGCGCTCCCTCTGCCCGGCCAGGCCGGGTCCACTTCTCCGCTCCGGGCAAAGGCTGCTGTGGCCAGCTGAGCTCGGCGCTGCCCTGCCCGGCTCGACGCGTCCCCACTCACCCGCCTGGCTCCGCACGGCGCGGCCCCGCTTCTCGCTGCCTCCGTCACTGCCGCGCTACGTCACTTCCGGCCCCGCCCTGCCCGCGACCTCTACAATTGCTCCTGCTTTGAAATCTACCTCTTCCCAAGAATCGAGGGTTATGTTTGGAACGGACTTTAAAAATTATCTAGTAAATATCGTCTTCACTCGGACAGTGTAAAAACAGACCTACTGCCTCAAAAAAGGGCGATGTTGGAAAGATGGCTGTAGCTAGAATGCTGACAGAAGAGAAATTTCAGAGTTTTGTCTCAGCCTTTTGACATGGAGTACAAACACTCCATTCCTGTATATCTGACACGTGAGTCTGCCTTGTGTGTGACACTGTCATAATGTTGCCTGATACCGAATTGCAACACAGGCTATTTCACATCAGGCGGGTGGGAAAAACACAACATGACAAAGTAGACGTGAAAATGCTGCCATAGAAAATTGCAGATTCTAAAATCCACAAGAACTGCTGTCACACAGCTAGAATTTGAATCTGCCTCAATTCAGGCTGGACAAGGTCATGGACAAGCTTTTCTTTCCAGCTTTATTTCTTGCTATGACAAAATGTGAAAGGAGCCAAACATGAGCTAGAAAATAAGACATGTTGTAGGTTAGATAATTAGGGTAGATAATTACAATTTAAGGTGATACATTCTTACAGCATCTTCAAGTATTTGCAGCCCAAAGAGTAAACAGTACCTCTGTGGTTACACCTAAGTGAATTACCTGTATAACATAGAAAACAAGGATGCCAGATCCTTTTCATTCAAGCCCTACCTCAACACATCTAGCACTGACATGTGACATTTGGGAAGTTTCTCCAGCTAACCCATTGTAATTCAGTTACTGTCACCTCTAAATTAATTTCCTGGATTCCACAAATTAGGGACATGAGAGCACATGGGACACACTACTAATATGTTCTGAGAAAAGCTTTTCAAAGGTATTACAAGCACATGCAAGAAGCCACATGTATCTAAAAATCAAAGGTTGCTGCTCTACTGTGTAAGAGTACCATCCTGTGTAATACTGAAATGCACACAGTTCTGAATGTTCACACCAGCTTGGTTGCTCTGCCCCAGAACAGGAATCAATGGAAGCTGCAGACACTTGCATGGAATTCATTCCCAGCTAATAAATCATGCAAACAATCACAAATACATGACATTAACCTTGAAGCTTTTAGATGTGCTATAGTTTTGTTTTATTCATGTTATCTCCTTGTGCTGGTTTTGCATTAATTGCATTAATATCCTGACTAATTATAAGTTTCTCAGTTTATTTTTGCACTCTTTTTTAAGTTTGTAATAAGCAGGAGCAACAGAATTGCTATGGGCAATATAGGTATAAAAGCAACAAATGCATTTTGTTAAAAGTAGGCTCTGATATTTTTGGCCCTTATTGATTCCATTGGAATACTCGGCATCAGATGGGGCAGATTTTTCCATCATCTGAAGAGGAGAAATAATAAAATCTTTTGCTTAAAAGATATACTTTCATTCAACAGCTTCCTGGAACAATTGTGCAGATTTCCTGTGTAATGGTAGAGGGCAGACTACATAATCAGAACACCACCTTTAACTTCAAAAACAATAAATGTATCACCTGGTCCCAGAGACCGAGCCCACAGGTAAGGTATTGCAGCAAGTTTCAGTCTTGTAATACAGCTACAAATTTTCCTAAAACATTCAATGTTTTAGCTTCAGAACTATTCACAAGACTCTCTGATGTGCTGCTAGAATTTTAGTGGTTATCATTTTCAGTTCAGTTCCTATGTAGAACAAGATAATGTTTTTCATCTAGGAAAAACTCTGTTCAGACCCATTTCTTACAGGGGAAAAAAAAAAAAAAGATCAGGAAGGAAGATGTTTTGACAAACCATGAAAATGCAACTTTATTTCAGGGTATGTGGCATTTACAATTACTTTGCTCTGTGCAACACTGTTGCTAATGTAAACATTAATTAAACCATGAAAATTTCAAGTGAATAGCTGTATTTGAAAAGACACAGAAAAGCAAGGTACAAAAAAGTGTCAGAGGTGTGGTTGTCATCATCTAACAAGGAGAGGTTAGGGGTGATTGGCACACATCTCTACTCATAAAATAAAAACTCAGGCCACCAGGGAGAGCACCTTTATTTTAAATCTTCGGTTAATTCCATATAGAAAAATCAGGTGCTTCTCCAACAGGGAGCTAACTGAAAGCAGCTCCAAAATGCTTTGATTGAACTTTGCTTCTCTCTCCATACTCCCTATTTTAGAGAGCATTCCTCATTTCTGGAGACACAGACTAATAATTTTAAGGTTCTCCTCCTTGTCCTTCGTTAATGCAATGCCCCTGGATCTCTACATTTCTCAAGTGTGTCACTGCAGTGATGTTCACAGATGGTTCACACACAGAGAATAGGGACCTGAGAGGACAAACTGTCCACATGGCTTATCCAAGAACAGAAGGCTCATAGGTATCACAAACATGGTATAAAACCTGATGACCAAAGTCCATCATCTGGATTGTATCCTGAATGTATCAATTTACTCACCAAACATTAAATACAGACTCCACCTATTTTCAAAAGCAGAAAATGCTAGACATTATCAGAATCAACAATAAATACCCAGCCAGATCACCTCTGTAACTTCTTTCTACATTCAGGGCCACCTTGAATGGGAAAAAGATGTCAAATGGGAGTTTCCAGTGCATTTGGGGCTGGTCTCGTGGAGGTTCTGGCCAATCTGTCATGTCAGTGAAGGTAACAACAGTTGACACAGGTACCATGCTCATGTTTAGAAACTGCAACAAGAAGGAAAGCAAAAAGAGTTTAGCAGTTTTAATACGAAAGGCATACCCTCCTCAGTTTCCTAATGGGGACTCACTGTAGATGACTGGCAAGCATGATGGCTTTGGGATTGTAGGAGTTGTGTCCTAAGTTTTCAGAGGAGTAAGCCCTCTTTCCCCAAACTGAAATTTAGCAGGTACATTGAGGGTGTAGTAAAGACCAGTAGCTATCATGCATCATATGCTACAGATCTCCAAACTGGCAGCAGTGACTCTAGCTGTGCTACAGTAAGCCTTCTACTCAGAGTAAAGTTAGTAATAAGAACACATGCAAGCAAGATTATTTTTTTTTTCATAAAAGATCACTTGGCTCTTTGGACAAGTGCTTGCTACCAGAAAGAACTGCCACAAGATGCAAATCCTATCAATAAATGTCAATAAATTAAAGCAGGGACCCAGTACAATAATAAATTTATTGCTCACATTTTAGGATGTTGTTTCAGGAAGGAGACAGAACAGTGAAGATCAAACAGGGGACTAAACCTCTAAGACCTCCGTTCTTTTCTGTTTTAACAGAATGCTGCAAGAAAACTAACACACTAGCTCTTTGAGCTACATGGAGTTTCATGGCTACCTCGGGCTGATTTAAGACCATGCTGCTGCCAAAAGAGCAACTGCCCCTGCCCCACTTCCCAGCTCTGCATGCTAACATTGAGAGGGCATTTACCAGCAGCATGCCTTCTTGTTAGCACTGGTTTAAGCCAACCTGTGAAATTACCACCTCATTCACTTCCCTGAGAAGAATTTCAAAGATTGCCTTTAGAGCAAAATTCTGTAGGAAGCATTCAAAAAATTGGCAAGAGAGCTCATGACTCTTAAGACAAAAATACTGTGACTGCTTATTGGGGAACTTCTGTGGTGTTCCTCAACGTGAATTAAAAAATATTTCTGTGCTTAAATAAAAAAGAAAAATAAAATGAACAATGCATTGGGTACAGTCCTGGTTCTACATGGAGTCTACAAAAAGGCATCATGAGCAGATTCCTTGTGCACCTTTGTACTTACAGCAGCAGTCCTGAGAGCATGGGGCACTTCAGCCACCTGTGGTCCATCCCCCAGGCCTGCTCTGCTGCCCAAAGGTGGCCCCTGAGCAGTTCCCATTCCAGAATGGCTACAAGACAATGCTGAGGCTGTTTGTTCTCTCATCACCTGGAAACTTCACTCACTTGCAATGTGTCCTAACATTCCTGCTTCCAGCAGTTTAACCCCTCAGTGCTCTCCATGCCAGATCAGCCCTTGATCACAACTCACCACTGCTGAGCAGTTTACAAGTAGAATTTCCCCAACACTTCTGATGGATGTAAATTCTCATATCAATGAGTAAACACACAATAGGCCAAACTGCCCTAGTCAACAAGAAGCCTCAAGATGATTGATTTAAGTGAACCTTCAAAAACTGCCTTAAAATCAGAGAGATTAGTGCAGGGAAAAAAAAAACTTAGACAACCCCTCCTGAGCAGCTGGGAGAAGGCAACCATCTGCAGTTTCCAGCATGCTCTTGTAGAGCTCTACATCATTTTAAAATGTCCTGTATTTTCATGAAGTCCAAATACAATTGTGATTAGATATTGTGGATGGATGTGGAAATCTGGGTGTCCTCCCTGGGTTCTCTGCTTTCTAGTCAGTTAGTTAGGCAACTTTCCAGTGGTGCCAGTGTTGTCTAAATAAAAAAAAAAAAATTCTCTAAAGAGTAATTAAAGGAACTAAAAGATAGTTCTCAGAGAGAGAATCTGTAGGCTAAAGCTGGGAAGTGACATAATTTGAAAGTAATGTGCAGCCTAGTATGCTTACAAATAGCTGCAATTCATAATTGCTGGCTATAGAGCAAGTTGGTCCTTTGCTAAAATGTCTTTACTAAAAACCTGAATTTGTGGATTGTCACTGATGAAGTCAGTACTGATTTTAATGGCACGGGCTTTTTTTGCTGCCAGAAACTTGCTTTCTTATAATTAGCTTTGCAATATACTTTAAAGCTCTAAAGTAATTTGAATCAGCTGCTCAAGCAAATCAAATCTGAATCTCATTCTTCTTGATTAGCTGAGGGATTTGCAGCCTGCACTTCTACTAGGAATGCAAGTCGTCTTCCTCAGACAGAAATTTTGTTAATGAAGCTGTGTAACAGGTGATTTAAAAAATATTTTCATGGAGTGGGGATATCAGCTTGCCTCAGGGCAATATGAGTTTTACTCATATTCCTATCCTCTTCTCTTCATGTACTTTACTTTGCAAGAAGGGACAACAAAGGGGTACTACGAGATGCATTCAAACAAGTGTAAAATCTCATTTAAATTGAGCCTGAAGTTCAAACAGTGTTAACAGATCAGACAGACACTTTCCATGTCATACCTCAGAGCCATGAAGATACCCAGGCGGGCATCAGCTGCTTCCCCTAAAGCCCTTACAGAGAAGTGTAAGCCTTGAAATATATCTGCTGCCCAAAAGACTATGTGACATCAAAAAAAAAAAATAATGACTGACACATGCTTGAAAAAGGCTGCTCTGCCCTCTGTGAACGTTTTAGCTGATACATTCCTGCTGACATCACAGTCACAGAATGGTCTGGGCTGGAAGGGACCTTTAAAGGTCACCCAGGTTCAAGCCTCTGCAATGAGCAAGGATGCCTTCAACTAGACCAGGTTGCTCAGAACTCCATCCAACCTAGCTTTGAATACCTTCTCTCTGGCTTACAGCCTTCCTCCCCAATTCTCCAAATACGCCGCCATCAGCATTAGTCACTTCCTCAGCTACCTGTTGGTGATTTCAGAATCTCTAGAGGAAGAGAAGTATCTTCTTGCACAGATTATCAGCATTCTGTGGAATCTGTGAAATACTACTCAACTCAAATTTCCTATCAAGGCTTTAAGAGACGACTAAATAAACATGGAGTTACTGAATGTTTTTAACTACAACTTTATACCAACCAAAACTGAAAGTTTAAAGACCGAGTCCTTAAGTGGCAGAAAGTGGTTTAGGGTTGGAAAGAAGGTACCTTTTCCAGTTATGCAACTGAGTGAGGACAGCACTGAAAAGACCACAAGACAACATTCCTCTACAGAAGGCTACCATTGCAGCCAGACAACTGTTAAAATTCAACAAACCTCAACTTAGTTTCAAGACCATTTGATTCCTTGGTTCTTAAATAAACTGCAAACCCCCTTTAATTACCTCTGTGTGTGAGGGAGGGCTTTTAATTCCATACCTTGAGGGGGTGACACTGGTAGAAATGCCGTGCACCCAGTATTTGAGCTTGTGGGTTGGACAGGAGGCCCACTCTAGTCCACAATATCTGTATCTCCAGGGTCACAGGAACCATACAACAGGAAGTGCAATTCACAGCCTGAAAATAAAATATAACCTAATCAAATCAATCTAGTGCTTGAAAAGTAATAAAGGACCATTATGGTCAAAGTCTAATATTTTGGATAATATAGGTCACAGAATCTGAATCAATCACTTCAGCACTAACTCCATAACTTCTGGTCAGGTCAACCACACATCTTGGAGCTACATCCATGTCACTGCCATCTCAGTTCCAATTAGAATTTGTCTCAGCTTTACCACTTGGATTTCACATTCCACTTAGCCATCCCCCCACAGATTAACAATTATTACAATACAGTTGGCTCACAAACTTTAACCTTATTAGGTAATATAATAGGATACAAATAGCCCTACAAAAATATTCCCTAATCTGGAAAAGCAGAAAGGATTATAATAATAATTAATCAGAAGTAACCAGCTACTATCAGTTCCAAAAGGCTGTCAGAAAACTATATAATGGAACACTGGATTCAGTATTTAAGTCTTTTTGCCCATTTAAATAGCAGGAACAGGATTCTAGAGATAGGAAATCTGTCAGGATTTGTTGGGGGTTTTTGAGTGGTTTTTTTGTTAAGTACTCTAATAATATGAACCATAATGACTGCTTACACATATCAAGATCCCTGTGAATCACAGGATCATTATACAACAAGAAGTCCAAGAAACCCCCACCTCCCTGAGTCAACACAAAGATATGAAAGGAAAAATATTTACAGATGGTCTTTTTGCATTCGTATTACCTGCACACTGCAGTTCTGAATCAGAATGGTCATCCACTCTTCTGCCTGGGTTGAATGAGCACTGCCAGTTACAGCAAAGTCTCCTGTTCTGTTCATCCCTTGAAAAGCCTCGTATAACTTTTGCTGCATGTAACTACAGTTACTGTCTTCCAGTATTGGGGATAGGCTGGAAATGAGAAAAAAACACCTCTTACAAAGTGATTTCTAGGACAAAAAAAAACAAAACCCAAAACACTACCAACATCCTTTCTCTGCAATAAGTATTTCTTCTGCTCTTATATGAGTAAACAAGTATTGGTATTAACAGATGCAGTTTCAAGCCTCTCTGCAATGAGAAAGGAGAAAAATATGGAAGGGTAATAAGAAAACTGGCAGCTCTTTAGCTATCTTATCGCATCAGTGGTCCTACACCTGCCCTGTCAAAAGAACAATCCAAATCATCAAAACAACCACTTTTTAAGATTTACTCCTCAGCTCTACTCTTGCCCAAGACATACTGTCAGACTAGAGCCTCAAAATGTCCAAGAGGACCTTCACAATATTCAGATTATTCTAGCAGTCCACCATCTTTCCTATATTTAAGTTCCCTTAGGAGTATATGAAAGATCTTTACAGACCCACTGGTGACCTCAGGGACTCACATGCTAAGTGAGTCCACAACTTCTAACTGTAGGAAAGTTCTGCAGTGTATGTTGTTACCTGATTTTGCAGCCTGTTCTCATATTCCTTCCAAATTGTACTGTGTGTCTGAGGAACTGTGAACAGCTTCCATCACTTTCACTCCTTAATATGCTCATCTGACAGACTGCACATCAAGAAACCAAACTAAAGTATAAACAGACAACATACAACACTCATCTTGTATTTAACAGTCCACTCACCCCCATACTCCTCCTTATCCCTATCAGGGCACTATAAAAGTCCAAACAGTGCAGTACCAGAAATCAAAAAAAAAAACCAGTGATAAACAAAAACTCATAGCAGAAAAAGGATACGTGTTGCATGACACCACTGTTGGCAATCAACAGTGGTGCTCCCGTGATATAGCCAGGGTTTCCACTTCTAGGCAACATATGAGAAAGAGTCCTGGTCTACAAAGACGCAAAGGGAAGAAATAGAAAAAGAGGAAAATATTAACACCAATGACATCCATTCATCTCCAAAGATCAAAATCACATTCTCAAAAATGTAAATGTAAGCTGTGTTTTGAATGACTGACTATTATACACTACTTAAACTGTTTCCAAAGACTCTTTCTTACCTGGCCAATTTAATTTGCAGTCCAGGAGGTAAAAAAACTAAATGTCAGTATCCTGAAATGTGGATAATACCAGGAAAGCTCTCAATACAATAAATTACTATTGTTCAACGTTTGTCTCTGAGGAAGTGAATATACGAGTCATGGCAATTCTTACAGAAGAACTGCAGAACAAACCCTGCCTTGACTGATTCTCAGTGGATCATTCCACTTCTAAATCACCATATGCCAAGAGCCTCTTGTAACTTTCTTTCCTGCTTCACAGGCAAAGTTAAGTAAGTACCTGGAATAAATTTAGTAACTTCGTTCACAAACACTGGACATGTCAGAGACAGCCCTAGTTTCAACCCCTTCCTTCACAAGGCCATTCTGCTGACTTACCTCATTCTCTTCCCTTCTACCCCCCAACAATCAAACAAACAAAACCCAAGAACAACAAAACCCCCCCAAAAAATAAAAAAACCCCAAAACCCAAAACAAACCAAACCAAAAACCAAACCCCCTCAAAAAACCCAAACAAAAAAAACCCCAAACAAAACAAATCAAAAAAGCGCCAAAAAGCCCCAGACCAAACCAACCAAACCAAAAAACCCACCCTCAAAAAAAACCAACCAAAAACCCCCAAACAAACAAACAAAAAAAACACCTAAAACCTAACACCAAACCAAGAACAAAAATAGTCATATAAAAATAATCAGCTCCTTGAAATTTGTGCAATGAAAGACTGCATGCTTGTGCTGAGCCCGAATTTTTCCACTAGCATGGTTTACTTGAGACCAGAAATGCCTCCCCTCCTGTCTTCAACCACCTGCACCCCAGGGTTCTGTTACTACTATACCACAGTGACACTGCTCTAACCTTTCCAGGTCTCATCTGTACAAAAATGAGTTGCAAGCTACAGACTACAAACTTGGTAAAATTCCAGGGAGGATAGGCATACTAACCCAGAAGTGCATGGTGAAGCGCTGCTGCAGAGAGGATCTGAAGTTCCCAGAGATGTTGCTCACTTTGAACTGGACAGAAACACTCTGAATTCCAGTTGTGCCACTATATTCTATATCATAGATCACCTGAAAATCCAATTTAGAGAACAACAGGAGACAGAGTAAGGTAATAGGGCAATGACTTTAGGCTTGTGTTAAGCTGCTCTAAAAGGAAAGAAGATTCACATACCTCAGAAACAACATTGATGCATGTGTCGTCCTTCATGTGGGGAGCTCCAGGTGGTGAGACTGCAGTGACATTTACCTGGAGATAGTAAGCATATTAACAATTAGTAATTACTTAAAAGGAGGGTGCATTTTTTACTCTTTTTCACTGCTTTTCCATCCAAGTCAGACTTACCTCCCTGCTGTAGCTGTGATGTAGGGGCACATCACATTGCTCCAGATCCCCAAACTTCTTCCAAGAAAATAAGCTACCTTCCTGACTTTAGTCCTATCTATGCTCATTCATTTAAAAATATACCCTTACTTATGTCCTTTTTGTTTCTATAATGTCCTACTTTAGTCAAGAAAAATCCTGTCTCAGATACAGCACATTCCCATTTTCCCTTCAGAAGCAGAAATTCTTTTCATTGGCAACAGAGACTGACCTTCATGGACTGCATAATAGTGTCATTAATTGGGACCTGGGGAAAATAAACAAACCATTTTACAATACCAATAAAAAGCTATGTAAATTGCTGTGTTTGCAAGTGACTAAAGCCATAAAATCATTACAAAAGAACCTGAATATTATATTGACAAAATTACTTTGTTTATTCCAGATGTGAAAACTTGTCATCATTTTGTAATCTATAAATCACAGACATAGTCCACAGAAGGCATTTTAAAATACCAAAAGACAAATTCAAACTTGGCCCTGCTAATATATCCTCCTATTTACAATGTTGTTTTCTCTTGGAAAACCAGAAAAATTCTACAAGGTGAGAGGAGGCATTTTCATATAAGCATTCAGTTAAGACCAGCAGGATGAACCTAGAACAGTAGATTGGTTACTTTGAATTTATTGTCAGGATAAATAGTAGAGAAATTGATATGGATATAAATAGAGCTAATATTAATAAGGGGCCATCGGCCATCTATATGATCTTATCTACACTTTATGTAAAAAAACACCCTAATTCTTTACTGAGAACATGTACTGCTTGGTTGATCAAGCTGATGGAACAGACAGGAATACTTTGATAAACGGTCTGTTTAAAATGCAAGAGAATTTTAGATAAACCATTAGGACTAGGAAGTATCAATGAAGTACCTGTTAAATACATTCAGAATTTGCTAATAACAGAAATTTATTGGAAAGTAGTTTAAATTGAAGGATTATCACAAGTAATGACATTTTTGACAGGTTTCCCAGCAAGAAGCTCTCAGCAATTTGAAGATCAGGGATGACATACCGACTCCAGTTTTACAATTACTTGAAGTCTCAGTGGAAGGCAATGCAAAGTCAAACAACTAAGATTTTGAACAAAATCATGAAATATGAAAAGCACCTTTAGCACAGTGAAGTCACGGTAGTAGGAAGCAGCATCTAGAGCAGGGTCAGTCACACAGCTCTTGCTCAAGTGGGCAAAAATCCGAGTACAGCTTGTGCTTTTACTGTCCAGGAAGCCTGGATGAGTTAAGACATGATAAAGAGATAAAACAGAAGCAAACCACCCTAAGATATTCTTCCCCCTTTACTAACCAGCAGGATTTCCATCAACACAAAGTCCACTGGGTCCCATTTTCACTGGCTGTCTAAGCATGCTCAATACGGATGAAGAATCAAAGTAGATTAGGATTGGATCACCAGCCTGAAAAGACAATTAGGAGAAATCACAAAGTTACAGCAGAGTACTAAGGCCAAGGGCAAGAGACAAATCTATACTTTGTGTACAGACAGCTTTGTCTAAAAGGTTGTCAAACCTCTTATATACAAGGCAACTGACTGGAAACTTTTTATACACTAAGGAATAGAAAGTACGGCAAGATAAACAGTTCAACAATGTGCTCTGGTAACCAGGAGGGCCAGTGTACAGTGTACACCCAGATGGGGTGCATCTGGCTCAGCATCCCCTCTGAAGGGAGGCAATTGTTCCATTCTACCCTGCATGCTGATATAGCCTCACCTTGAGCCCTGAGAGCACTTTTGGGTGCCATAACATAAGCCATAAAGCTATAGGAGAGCATGCAAAAAAGGTTTACAGAGATGATAAAGGGTCTCCAGGGGAAGCCATACAAGGAATGACTAAAGTCGCTTGGCTTGTTCAGCCTGAAGGAGGCTGAAGCTATGCAGCTTCCTCCCGAAGAGCAGCCATTGATCTCTGCTCTCTGTGATGAGGGACAGGACCCAAGGAAATTGCTGGAAGTGTGTCAGGGAAGGCTTAGGCTGGATATCAGGAAAACGTTCTTCCACCAGAGAGTGGTTGGGCACTGAACAGCTCCTCAGGGAATGGTCACAGTCCCAAGGCTAACAGAGTCCAAGAAGCATTTGCACAACACTCTCAGGCACAGGGTGGGATTGCTGAGGCATCCTGTTCAGGACCAGCAGCTGGACTCGATGATCCTTTTGAGTCCCATCCAACTTGGGATATGCAATGATCCTATGATACTATGGTTTCTGGGTACAAAATAAGAATCTTTCAATCTGTTCTCATTAGACATCATTACAGACAGCTTTAGTAAAAGCATATGTGCAAATTGACTCCTATTTTCTTTCAACTCACACGGTAAAAAGCAGAGAACGATGGCTGAACTTGTGATGGTGCTAAGAAAGAGTGCCTGCCATACTTCTCTAAGAACTCCACAAAATTAGATTCTTCGATATCCTGTGGCTGTTGAAAATAGTTCAGCTTTGCTAGAGTTTAAAAAGAGGAAAAAAAAAATCCACCAATATTAACTTATTGGAAAAGGTAATAGTAAATACTGTGCCAATATTTTTAAAAGGAACAATTTAAGTAATTTTAAGATAGCTGGTGCCTTACTTTAATCCATAGTAACACTTCTAATAGGTTAATATGATCTACAAACACGATGATATCATGAGTACAGTTAATGGGAAACAGATATTAATACACAAAGTGACTTTCCAAAAAGCAAAAGACTCCTTGACAGCTACCTTAATACATGCTGTGATTTCTGTGAGATGCCCAAATTAAACACACACGAAATTTTAATTACAAAGCACTACCCATTTGTGAGTTCATTAAAAGCAACATTAAATGGATTAAAAAAAAATTATGTAAAACTGGCAATTGGTAATACTCAAGATAAGTATGAATAGACAATAGGCATTCTAAAAAAACTTACTTTCTGAAGGTATCTACAGTGATACCTTCCTGACCTGTGGTATTCAATGGTATGGTTATGACACTATAATGTACTAATTTATTACTGCTAAAGCACTGTTATAAAATGGCAAACTATTAAAGGCATGCTACATAGACTCATCCTAATATGAATAACTTTTCAATGCATTCAAATAAAGAATCTTGGAAGATTCAAGAATTACATATCCTACTGACAACAGGAACAAGTGGCAGTATACTCAATTACAGTAGTGTCAAAAAGAATTTACGTAATGCAGTAGATTTTGGATTTGGAGGGAAAAAAAGAACAGTAAAATTAGAACAGTAAAAATAGAACCTTAAGCTCTCAATATAGTTCTGCTGTTCAAGGGCAGAGCAGATGATCAAAGGTACAGCACAGATAGCAGAAACAAAAGCTTTTTAATATCCAAATACACCATGAATTAAGCAGACAACTAAATCGTTCAAGAAGAAAAAAAATCAAAGGAATATTAAGCTCCCACAAGGTTCACAAAACCTTAGTTTTGTGTTTGAATGATGTATCATCATTAGACTGAAAAAGAAAACATTTGCAGTTATGCTACTCACAGCCATTTAATTGATTTGGGACCCAATTCATCATATACTCTTCCATTATCAAAGCTGAATACTTGCTACTACATGTTAACAATATTACATAATGCAAAATACAGCTGAAAACTGGAAGGAAATACCTTCTTCAGGAAAACTTAAGAGATTCAAACTTTTTAAGTTTATATACTAAAGGGTATTTAATCTTGCAGAGAAAAGCAACATAGAATTTAATCTGCTAGCAATAGTTTCCACGAGGTGAAGTCAACCTGTGCATCACTTTCACCAGCCCAGATAATTCATTAGGGCTAGATTAATCTCTGGCAATGGTAGCTCATCACACCATCCTGGAAAAGCTACTGCCACAATTAGTTGAATAAAATATGTGTTCCTATATTTCCATGGGAGAGGCCACTAGGGAGAAGGCTGTTTCTACCAGAAAACATTATGATCCTTCAGGTGATCCCAAATAAAGTCTTCCCCATCCGTTCTTCAAACAACAAGCACAGAAAACGAAAAGGCCATGTGAACAGTGAATTCTGTTCCCAAGTGTGCTACAACTAACATATACATGCAGTCAAATGTTTAGGCCTCTTCAGTGGGCCTAATCGTGATAGATACATGGCCCAAATATCAAATGACTAAAAAAACTGGGTGCCATCTGGACACATATGATCCTTTCTGTGCATAACATTAAAAATTCAGAATCCTTTTAGTCTTACTTTCAGGATATTATGAGTGGTGTGGGAAAAGGGTAACATTTAGATTCCAAGTTGCAGGCTGAAAAGCCCAGGAGCCTGACAACACTTTAAGTTGTGTTTAAACCCTTATCTAAATTCATCTTTACTGTGAGACAAACTGAAAATTGGAATGGGTAAAGTTCTAGCACTACTACCTATCATGCTATATATTATGAAGCTCTCATAATTTCTTTGTTCTTCCTTGTATGCAAAGCACTCAGGCAAAAATCTATAAAGAGCTGAAAGCGGGACAAGTCAGTAAAAAGCTAACATTGTTTTGACTAGCTGTTGTACCTGTTCATCTCCTGAGTCCCTCCCAACCTAAAATACTCAAGATTTAGGTCAGAAGCAGGCAGAACTGTGGGTCACAACTCCCAGACAATAACTCAAAAATGTGAAACCACAGCAATTGCACTGAATGCCAGAAACAGGACTTTAAATCACTCAAATGTAATATAATGTGGAAAGCAGAAAGAGAAAAGAATGTTAATGGCATAGCCTACAGGATATATGATTACCAGTGAAAAAAATCATCACCAGCAGAGAAGAAAGGATGAAAATAAGCATATATAATAAAGAATCCAAGACACAATAAGAAAACACTTTCTGAAAATTATAGTAGTGGGATACTTCAAACATCAACCCTTATCTGCTCCTCTACATGTAGCCAACCATGTAAGGTATCTCAGATACATAAGCAGTTGATAAAGATTTGTGTTCAGCCAGAAACCAAATCCCTTAATAATAGTGTCTTTGGTGATTCACTATGGTCTCTCTGACACTTTAACGGCTAAAATAATTAGCAACAGTTATAACATGTAGTTCAAAAGAATATTCCCTAAGCAGAGACAATCTATAAACAAAATGTATGAAAAGAAAGATTGCTTACGGTCATCCAACTGCACACAGAACAGCAGATCATGTCCACCAGGATCAGAAACAATGTTTGTAGAATAAGGGATGTTACTTCCGAAAATGAGTGACTTTTCCACACACATTTGACTCACAGACCTGTAAAGACAACCCCCCCGCCCAGCTATAAAATGGACCATAATTGCATAATTTCGTGTTTTACATTACATAATGCCAACAACACAGTATGACTTTTCATCAGTTTAGATGAGCTGTTGTACAATCTGCACCGATAATCAATTACAGAAGGCCTCTCTTGTCATTGTAGTAACTTTGTGGACACTCGGTTAGTGTAATTAGAAATCACTCTGGAAGAAAAAGTGATTAAAAACAAAATCAGTGCACATATATTACAGCTCTTTTCGGTCCTCTTCACGAGGGCAATCTACAAAGATTAGGTTTTACTCCCTAATAGCTGAGACCGTCTTCCTCACTGACAGCATCTCGCGGTCTGTATTTGTTTGACCGCCTCCTCATAGCACTCCGAAGCTCCTTTTTCTTAAACCCAGACTTCCCAGCTCCCACCGCCAGCTGCCTCCTCACGGAGTAGCCAAGCCTCGCTTCATCTCGGCCACGGCGCTGTAGGCCCCGGGAAGCCTTTGCAGTCCCCGGCCCGGCGCTAAGCCGTCCCGGGCCCGGGTGCGCGGCAACACCACGGCCAAACACAGGCGGCCAAGCCACAGTTCCCGCCTGGGAGCCCGGCCCGCGCCCGGTCTCCTGGCCCGCCTGGGCCCGCTCCGGCGCCAGCAGCGGCAGAAACCCATCCCCTACCCACCTGCTGCCGCCGGAGCGCCGGGACGCGCCTGCGGGGCCGAGGGCGGGCGGCGGCAGCGGCGGCAGCAGCGGCAGAAGCAGCAGCGGCAGCAGCAGCAGAGACAGCAGCGGCAGCAGCAGAGGCAGCGACAGCAGAGGCAGCAGCGACACCGCACGGGAGCCGCCCATGGCCGCGCACCAGCGCCGGGACCCCGCGGGGCCGCAGCGCCTGCGCGGTCGCAAGGGGGCCGGGCAGGGCGGGGCAACGCTCTTCTAAAATAGCACGTTTAAAAGAGTTAATTTCAGGTAATTGTAGCAACTGTATGTTGACAACTACTAGAAATCGTCTACTGGTAATGAATTCATATTATGCCTGAATTCATGTTATGGCATGATGACTGCGCTAAGAGCAGTAGTGTCTAACGTGTCTAACATGAGCTACCCTATTCTGCTATCATTTAAATGATATAGGTTGAGTGGGTCACTAAGCAATCACTCCTTTACATTATGTTAGAGTGCACAAATTGGTCTGCCGAGCTGCCTAGGTAAAAACACAGTGTTTCACTAACTCTCGACTTTGTATCAAAAACATTTCTACTCAGTGGACCAGATGGGAGAAGATTCTTAATTTTGACATCATGAAAATTTTTCAAATTCAAACAGAATTCAAATTTCAAACAAATGCCAGAGTTTAGTTAAAATCCCACACAGATAAGTCCTGGGACAGTTTGGCTTTTATGCTTGTATCTTTCAAATGAAAATATTTTTTAGGTACTTTTTGTGAGGTTCTTTTCATGCAATATTTATTTAACATCTGAATCTGACTGGCACAATATAGTGGAGATTAAAAAGTCAGTACATGTTCAAGGAGTCAAATAAGGCAAATTCATGAAAGGAAGCACATCAAATGTCATTAAAAATGCAGTTACTGTAACAGGGCCTGCTCCAGTGTGTTGTTTCTGAGCTGTTGGAAGCTTCAGGGATTCCTTACTCTGGAAATATTGCAATCCCCCATTTGAAACTCTTCCTTAGCCTTCTACTGCTCATCTCTGCCAAAGGAAAGCTCACTGGTTAGGCCTTTGCTCTGACCCAGTTCCATTCCTGTGTTCAGTGTGTACTAGATTTTCATCAGAAGCCGAGATGGAGAAGAGGTACCTTAAGCCATTATTTTTTTGGCAAGTTAGGACAGTACAGACAACAGAGACATTGTGTCATTGGATATTTACTTATCATTTGCTGTCTTTCATTCTAAATAAAAAACACCCACTCCTCAGTAGATTAACTGCTTCAATGATTTGGTTATAAGTGCTTTCTAGGAACAAGCAATTAAACTTATAGAAAACCAGGTTGATTTAAGCTTTTAATCAGAGAATTGATAATGACAAATAATTTAGTAATACAAGTTAAGTGATCATGATCAATTTCTGGACAAAGAGAATAAGATGCATAGTGGCTATAGATAACACTTCCAGTTTGTCTAAATCTCTTTGTAGCCTAGAACTTTAGTCTCTCTCCTTCATTGCTCTTTATGTGCATTTATAGCTTTACATTAGTATGCTGCTTGGGAATAAATGGAATCTATGTCTAGTCTCCTTGGGGTCATACACACATTCCATGGCACGTAATGAGAAGGGACAGCATCCACAGTACAGATAATGAAGTTGGCCTTAAGCTGCCTTAGGACAAAACAGAAAGAAAGGAGCAACAGGTGAGAAAATATTAGATTTTTGTAATAAAATAAAAATTTTGAGAAAATAAAGATTTTTGTAATCTCTTGCATGTTAAAAAAGCACACTACTGCAAAGCCCTCTGAGAAGGACAAACGTGTAACACGTTAAGTGAGATGTTTGAACCTGCAAACCAGAGTGCAAAAGAATCAGGAAGTAATTATAATAAAAAAGCATATGGAGAAAACCAATGGTTCCTCTGACATCTATATAATTCTCATTAGACAGTATTTGGTCTGTACTATTTCTCATTCTTTCTAGACTCACCTTGCCTGTAGGAGGACTGGATGGGACTGGGCATGTTGTCTACTACTTCATCTATTCAAGGAAAATAAAAGAAATTCTATAGAAGGCAACTGGACGGTAAAGTAATCTCCTTGGTACACTTTCTTTCGGCCATTTACAGGAGATGTTCTGCTTTAAAAGTTTTTACTATATGATTTAACATGACTACTTTAATCTCTTATTTGTTCAGACAGGTGACTTTAGCAGCAGTAAAGGACACAGACCCATTAGCAAAAGCTACCAGCCATTTGCCACTGGTTTCTATTTTATAAAGTATCAGGAGATCATACTTGTTGTTGGGTAACAACTAGGAGGATGAATACCTATTTTTTAAGTTTCCAGATTTGAATACCAGTCATTCCATATTGGGTTACAATTTCAGAAAAGTCAGAAAACTTAGTGAAGTGATATATGACCATCACCCAAATATCCAATTTTTTTTTTAGTCAGTTCCTTGATTTAATTCCTTTCAGTTAATTTAAAAATTAATTCAAATGATTGACTTTAACTTTGTCTTGTTTGTTTCCTGTTTATGTTTTCCTGGTCATTTTACCATGATGTAATTAGTAGATTTTGATAGTCACAAACCATGTCATTATATAGCAGCCAGTAATTTTCCATTGAAATTGGAGATAATACAGCCAGATTCTTAGCACAGTGTCAGAGACTGAAATATTATGGTTTATGACTTAAACATTTTCATGACAGGCTTTTGCTTATTGTAGCAGAACTGTATCATGAACGTTGTCGAGAAGACCACCATACCCTGAATGGGGTCCTGACTGAAGGCTATTGACAGCTCCCTGACAGAGGTAAGTAACAACTCAGGGCTGGGGACATTCACAAAGCACAAGCTTAACACCTTCAGGGTGGAAATCACAGCCCCAGGGCTATCGCACAGACCCTTGAACCAAAGGGAGGGAGGAAAAAAGCTTTGGGTGTGTGTTGGAAAATCCTCTGGCCAGAGGCGCAGTGTCTGTCCATCCTGCACTGCGCAGAGGAGCCTAGCTGAGGGGTCCCTTCACCCAGGGAAAAAAACACATTCATGTGAAGGATAGGAGAAGGGATGTTATGGCCCATCAAAGGCTCCCACAAAGGAGTCCCCAGACTCTGCACCAGAGCACTGAAGCAGCATGCAACAAATCCAGAGTCTAGCAAGGGACAGTGTCAAACTGGCCCCCTGCACAGGAGAACATGGATGTTCCCACCTGGCCCGAAGCATATACTAATCTATGGGATTTTATACTCTTTGGAGCGGTGCGGTGTAGCAGTGATAGTCACTCTCACCACCAAGAAGACCAGACGCAAGGGAGCAACAAGACCTCGTTGGGACCCTTGGATAGATGATATGCTTCCGCCTAACTCCTGTCAGTTTCCCCTGGTCCCTCCACCCCATGCACACTTTCTATTTCTTTTTTTCTCCTTCTTGTTGCCTCTTCTACTATTAAATAAAATAGATAAATTTTTTTGCAACAACATTTGACCTCGTTTGGTTTTAGTCATGTTTTTTGGTATATTTTGAACCTTCAAAGTTCTTTCCATTTTATACACAGAGAGTTAATTTTCTTTGCTCTTCTGGGTTTAAACCGGATCATAGCACCCAGGTATTTAATGAGGATGAATGGTAAAAAGAAAAGAAGTGAATGTTTATTTTATGATGGTGCCGTTTTGGCTATTATGTACATTACAGAAGTCAGTTGAGTCTTCACATACTCACTTGTATATGAGGAGATACTAGACTTACACGAGTCTGGGACTCTGCCAACAGACATCCAGAAGTGTCTAGCCTGTAGTTTGGGTACATACAAACATCATATATATATATAAGATGATAAGCCACAGTAAGCCATTGTTATTATTATCTAACATGATTACACAAGAGTAATATATTGCTTTCTGCTTCAGAAATTGATGCACATTTGATATAGGGTTTTTTCCTTGTCCACCTAATTTCAGATTAGTTTTATGTCTGTTCATTGTTATTCATAGAAGCAAGACAGTTACTTGATTTAAATGGGCACTGTGGCCAGAGAGGAGTTTCGTAGTAGAGGTAGGGATCGATTCTACTCCTGAATTCTTTACAGACTCTTGTACTGGAACAGCTACTTGTACAGATATGCAGTCTAGTTTGAAGTGAAAAAGGTTTAGGTTTAAAATTGAGTTTATGTATGTAAGCCTTTAAATTGTCTTCATGACCACAATGATTTCTCTCACAGAATCTGGTATGACTCAATAGTTGAGGAGCAGTTCTAAATACCTTATTTGGTATCTGTCGATGTCAGTGCAGTCAGGCAGCTCTTTTCTCCTTTTTCTTTTCCTTTTCCTTTTCCTTTTTTCCCCTCACCTATGACTTCTTCCTGCACTGGCAAATATGATCCCAATGTTCTTGGGCATTTTGTTCTGCTTTAGTCCAAAGGTTCAGCCACTGGTAGTGTATGCATTATTTTAAAATGTTTCACGTTAGAAGCTCTCAACACGAGAAAAAAAAAAAAATGCTGGTGACTGCATTACTTAGTACTAGTTTCATCTGCAGGAAGGCATCAGTCGTTGGCTGTCAGCCCTTCAGCCCGTGCGCGCTCCGGTTGCCGTTCGCTAACAGCTCCCGCGGCCCGGGGGCGGCTCCCTCCCGGTTCGCCCTGCCCGTGGGGCGAGGCCGATGGGCGGAAGGGAGGGAGGCAGGCGGGGCAAGCGCTCTTGAGTTGCCGGGGCGCTCCCAGGATACGCCTGTGTTGTGGGAACGAGCGGCCGAGGGCAGGCTGCGGGTGTCTGGCAGCCGCATCGCTCGGCTGTCAGGACGAGGCTCCGGGCTTGCGGAAGGGCCTCGCGATCGCGGCTCGGAGCTGCCCCGCTCCACTCGCGGTGAGGCCCGTCCAGCCGCGCCATGGAGCTGGCCGTGAGGGAGCGGCTGCTCGCCGCAGAGAGCGCAGGAGGTGAGCAGGCGGCCGGCGGCCGCGATCTCATGACCGTCTTTAAAAAGAAGTGAAATTAAAATACGACTTTCAGGAACACAATTTGATCCTAATCTGTTTTATAAATTCACTTTCTAGTTTGCTAACATTAGTGATTTTAAATAGCAAGGCAGCTGTTAATGCTTCCTCTTAAAACTGTCTAACGCTGAGTAACGTGTGTGTGAAATTATTTTCCTTAAGCATTCTTAATTTATTTTTGCAGAGGAGAGACTGAATATCAAGTAGCTCATTTGGATGCAATCATGTACACATGGAAGCAAAAATTCTTTATTCCTTCTCTTTCAGATGTTCAGGCTCTGAAGAATGCTTATGAGTTAATCAAATCATCTAGTGAAGGACAATCTGCACTTGATTCATCAGATAACATCAGCACCGACTTATATGTTGTATGTGCTGAACAAGCGCTTCAGGTTTGTAATTTAGGTCTTTTATCTGTATTAAATAAAATCATGTGTATGATATACTGTATTTACAGCTGTTACAGTTAGTACTTTAAAAAATCTCAGGAGTACCTGAGGAAAGTACTAACCCTTCTAGTTTTGGAGAACAATTCTTTAAACGTGCATTTTCTGTTAAAACTCCACCCCTAAAATCCTCACTTCTTTATAATCAGTCAGCAAAGTGTGGTTTGTGAGGTTTGTAGTCATACCCAAATTAGCAAAGTGTACCATAGTATATAACAAAAAGTTTGCCATGCCTGTTTTCTCTTGTTATAGAAAACTTAGCATTAAGCAATTTGGTTATGACTGAAGAAAATACGTTTGTGAGCATCCATACCAGGTGAAAGAGCTCTAATGGACCTAATTATTTTTCATAATTTTCATTTATTTTCATAATTTTCTAATTATGAAAAGCTGTTGTTAATTGAAATTACTTCTATAAAATGTGGCAGAGATTTTTAATTTTGAAGTATTTGTTAATATTCAATTTATGATCATAAGTGATTGAATTTTAAGCAGACATTTTGTAGTAAAACTTTTTTTTTTTTTTTTTCCCAAGCTGCAATCCAGTCAAAATCTGTCTGTGGTCTGAAAACTGAGGTGTAACACTAACAAACCCCTCCTTAAAAAAACTCCAAAATTCTGTTAATAATTTTGTCTTTATTTTAACAACTGTGTTTAAAAAGGAAACATTTTTGGATACTTTAAGCAGTTCTGTGGCTGACTGAGGAGTTATGTTAAATAAAGAAGCTTTTCTTTACATACATTTGGAATGACAGAACTATGCCGTTAATAAATTGTAATGGGCTTATACCACAACTGGTATGCATCTTTATGGAGTATTGCTTACATACTGGTGAGGAGTTAGATGTTACCCTTGATTAGGCATGCATTTTAAAAAGCTAACAATTCTTAATTATTTGTTGCATTTTTTAAAACACTGAAATGCTTTTTTTTGGGTTTTAGCTGGGATATCTGGAAATTAGCAGTGACTGTCTAAAAATGTATTTTAAAGGAAGATTTCCTGTGAACCAATTTCTTGGCAGAGCATATTTGTGCCAAGGCCAGTTGCATGCCCCACGCTCTACAGATAATTTGGTGAGAAACTATAAAGGTTGTTTTATATTAAGCCTGGTTTTACTAGTATTTATTCCTAGGTTATGTGTTGCTTTCAGTCATTTAAAATACACAAGGATAATCAGGACTGTGGGAAAAATGACAGGAAATATAGTAAGAAGTAGTTGTGAGTAAACAAAACTTACCATCTGAATCAGACTAATGTTTCAAATATTTTGGAAAAGACAATAAAAAAGAATACTTGTAAAAAATTTCAGGTGGTTGTTTTAAGTCACCCGCTTAACTTTTTACCTAAATATGATACTTTCAGTATTTCAATTAGCTGTAACTGTTGAAATAATTACTGACTTTGTTTGGGAAGCATTTCATAGGCTTGTGGGAAGTGGAGGACTGAAAAAGCCCTCAGAGAGGTTGTACAGTTCGTTTCTGTAACAGTGTGCTTCCATCACTCATCAATAACATTTCCATGTAGTACTTGGATGTGGATTTTTGTAATGAGAGGTGGTAGCAACTCAGCAGGATACTTGTGCTTCTGTGTGTTGCTTTGAGGTGTTACAATTCCTTAAATATGAAAAATATTTTTTATCTCCTGCTGATTTTAAAATGGAGTGGGATATGTTTTCTGTCTTCAGTATTTCACTTGTCCTTGTACTGTGATCAGTCAGCTTTGATTATCTGTTAATGGTATCTAGCCCCCCAAAATAGATGTAACAGATATATATCATCATAGAGTATTCTGAGTTGGAGGGGATCCACAAGGACCATCACAGTTCAACTCCTGGATCTGCACAGGGCAACCCCAAAAATCCCACCCTGTGCCTGAGGGAGTTGTCCAAATGCTCCTTGCACTCTGTCAGCCTCGAGGCCATGACCACTGCTCCGGGGAGCCTGTTTGGTGCAAAACCAGCCTCTGGGAGAACATTTTCCTGATGTCCAGCCTAAACTTTTCCTGACACAGCTCCAGCAGTTCTCTTGGATCCTGTCCATGGTCATGGAGAGCAAAGGTCGGTGCTGTCCCTCCACTGCCTCTGAGGAGAAAGCTGCAGAGTGCAATGAGGTCTCCCCTCAGACTCCTCCAGGCTAAACAATCCAAGGGACATCAGTCAGTCCTTATATGGCTTCCCCAAGAGGCCTTCACCCTCTTTGTAACTCATAGTTTGTGTTACTTGTGTTCACAAATATACCTGAGAGATGTTTTAGTAGTCTCTTTGAATAATGTGTTTGAATTAACTCTCAAGCTAGAATCTTTCTCCTGTTACATTTTCTGTACTTTATTTCTTCTATGAGCACATGTAAAGAATAACTGGTCAATGAGGACTTTAAAACCTCATGCATGTTTGAAACGTCCAATGTCCAGTTACATTTCTAAATTAACAAACTATTCTGTTTTGTTTTGTGAATCTCAATCAAAATTTGCTGTTTTCTTCTTGGCTCTTGCTAACTTCTTAGAAGTTAAAAATGGTCCCAGGTTGCACAGTCCTGTCTTGGTTCCTTGTGTCATGTGTTGTAATGGTCTTTTAATATACACTTCATGTCAGTTGTAAAGTTTTTTCACTGCTGTATTCCTAGATAATTTATGAAAGTATGTGACTAAGTAATCATCATTCACGTAGAAAAGATAAATTTGTCCTTATTTGGTTTTCCTCCTAAGGAATCCTTCTTAATTGATGAAGATGCTTGTGTTCTTAAGGGCCAAGTGCAGCTTCTCTACTTTAGTACATATTTCATCTCTGGTTTTCTGTTTATCTAGGCAGTTACAATTTATTGCTCAGTACCCTTCTTATGCCATCCTAGAGCTCCATAAGTCAGTCCCAATTCTCTTGGGGATCTTAATTTCTCTTTTCTAGCGTACTGTAGAGACCCCCTCTTGGTGTCATCCCATTCCTCCTCATCCAGCTCCACCTTGGCTTTGCCATTTGCACCGCATCCTTCTCCTACACTTTCAAAAATCCCTTTATACTATCTGAGCCATCTTCTTTACACCCTGCCTTCAGGAATCTGTACATACTTACGAGATCTTCCCTGAGCTGCCTTCTTCAGGCTCAACAGTCTCAGCTCTCTGTCTTTCTCCATAGAAGAGACACTTCAGTTTTTTCTTGACCTTTGCAGCCCTATCTTGGACTCTCCGCAGCATCCATATCTCTTTCATACTGCAGACCCCAGAACTGGGAAGAGTGTTCCTGGTGTGAATGCTGAATAGAAAGAAAGGTTCACATCCTTCAGCCTGCTGGCCACAATCCTCCTAAGGACACTGTCAGCCACCTTAACAGCAAGAGAATGCTGCGAGTTGGTATTCTTTGACTTGGTGTCTGCCAGGACACCTAGTTCCTCCTCGGAAGAGCTGCTTCCCATCTCCTTAATGATAAAAAGGGCATGCTTGTTACATCATTTTGTTGACAAATTCCTGTTGAAGTCTTTTTGAAGAAAATAATCCCTCGAGATTTTTAATGGGACATAAAACTTTTTTCCTGCTGAATTTGCTCTTGGATATTTCCGAACTTTCTTTGCTGAAAGTTTAAAAAGTATGCAGCTTTGTAGTTTTGGAAAACTTCAGTCCTGATAATGCATATTTGTCATAAATGAAGTAATTTGAAAATACAGTCTTAAAATTTGAAATCAGGAAAACATATAAATAGGCTATCAACCAGTTTTTAATTATTATGTTTCTATAGCAACAACTTACTAAGGCAGTATGTTTTAGTTGAGATTGGTCTGAAAATAAAATTTATGAAATATGAACATATTGAAGTGGAAAAAAACCTACTGATTTATAAATGCCATATTCATATTGCACTAGCTTTTCTTTGTTCTATTCTAGGAAGAGTTTGAAAAGTTTGTGCTGTTTTTTATGAAGGCAATAGATTTTGCAACCCATGACAGAAGGTAGGCCCTGCTGACAGGATTTACTCTAAATCCCACGAAATACTACTGATTTGCTTTTTCAGTTCTTTGTCTTGATTTTCATTAGGTAGCATGGAGTTGTGTTGTTTGGGTTTTTTCTTTAGATTTTTCCTTACATTTGCTAACTCCTGTTACTGCTGTGTGTGTTGTAACGACATAAGGACACTGCAATCTTACATCAATGGGATGTTTAAAGCTGGTAGATATCTCAGCATTTCTTACTCTTTTATAGGTATGATCTATAGAATGAGAGTACCATGTTAGCTTATTTTTAAGTCATTAATTATTGAGTAGAGTATAATTGCAAGAGTTACCATATTCTTCTTGTGTTGTACTTGTCTTCTCAGTTCTTAGTCAGGATTGCTTCCAATGAAAAATAAAAGTTGCACTTTTTAACTTCTTAGAAGTGTCTTACAGTACTCAAGATGTAATTTTATGCTTATTCAAGTTCATTAAATACTAATTTTTTTTATTCTTATTTTTCAGGTATTTTTTTTTGATATATAATGCCTCAGTTCTTTATTGGCAACTTGTGAGGCCATTTCTTAAGCCTGGATACCGCTATTGCCTTATTCCCAGCCTTTCACAGATTATTACAGCATTAAACCAAATTGAAGAGCAAGACAGTGAATGGCAAGCAGAACTCATGATGTAAGTTTAATTATATTTTTTCAAGTGGACTTTCTGTAATCCTTTTGGGACTGCTACATGAGGTAGTCTGTAAAAAGGTATATTTCACCAGTAATGTTGTAGATGTATTTATTGTGAAAAACTTAATTAATAACTTTTTAAAGAGACATCTAGGTACTGAAAATAAAAGGTGCTTCATTTCAATATTTACTTCAAGCTTGAAGTTTTAGTGACAGGGAGAGCTGTGTCCTAGATCGGATCTGAAATTTCATGTAATTTTGGATGTAGTGTTTGAGTCATTGATAATAACTGGAAATAAATTGCACATACATATCAATGTATTACCATTCTTGCATTTCCTGAGAAAAGCTGGAGTATAAACCTTGAGATAACTGTACCAAGAAGAATAGTTTTATGTGCAAACGGAGGAGTGTCGGTGTAATTTTTCAACGTCCCACAACCTTTTCGCAGAGGTGTTTTGATCCCCTATTCAACAGATTGATTCCAGTTCCTCTTGCACTCCTACCATAGCTTTTTCCCTTTCTCTTTCTGAACTTTTCTGTTTCTTTGGTCTATGGTTTATTGCTATGTAGCATTTTCTTTATTAACTGAAACTGGAGGAAAGCAACAAAACAGTCCAAGGGGTGTGCTCAGGACTATCTAGAATACCATGCATGCAATTTCTTGGTACAAAACTTTTACTGCAGTATTGGTGAGAACAAACAAATGCACTAAGTGTGTTTGTGTTATAAAACTAATGGTTGCACTTGGTTTTTTTTTAAGTTGTATTTATTTCTAAATTTTTTTAAAAATTATGATTATCATTGTTGTTAATTTATGTCATGGAGTCACAGGCTCTTTTTCAGTCAAATCAGATAAAGTGTAGAAAACCTAGTAGATATATCGCAGTTTCCAATATGAATAGTTTTCTTTTGCTAAATGGCTTTGAAATACTAGCCTTTCCAGTAGTTAAGGGAGAATCTTAGAATATGTCTCACAAAAATGTTTTTTCATACACTTCTAAAAAATTAATCTTTTTAATTCCTGGTATGTTCTTGATAAAAGTTTTCAGAAAAAAACTCCAAATTTTCCAAGATTCTTATTGTGATCTGCACTAAATATGTGTTAACAGCTTTGTATATCTGGAAGAAGAAAAAATATAGAAATTAGAGGATCTCTTCTGTGTTGAGTCAGTGCTTTATAGCACTAATCACTTGTACTGCATTTAGAAGTGGTACCTTGATTATAAAGAGTGTTAAAAATATATAAATAAGAATTATTTTGGAAAGTGTTAATAAATATGTAATACAAATGTTTATTTGATCTGCAGAAATTTACTTGAGTGCTTCCTTGATGCTTCAAAACTGGAAGAAGCAAAAGAGTTTTCATCTACTGCAGCAGTCTTTATTAAGGAAAATGTTCCAGATAAATATTCTCAAATATTTTCTTTAATGGTAATGCTGAAAAGTATTTTAAACTCCCATTAAGACAGGAGCTCTTAATCTTTCATAAAATAATAATTATAATTGTTACATAAGCTGTTTTCTTCATTTCAGTTTTGTGAGCTACCAAAAGATTCAGTAGACATGCAGAGATTTTCACAAATTGTGTATTTTTGGTACTATAAGGTAGACAGCTCCCTACTGCTCCATGTTCTTTTAGCACGTCATAATATAATGGGGATAAGTGTGGCTAACCCTAAAAATTCTGTTTGGGATTAATTACTATTGAAAGAAGGTGTAGTGAGAGTAATTTAACCTGACTTATGTCACTGAGGGCATATTTAGTATCTGTTGACTTTTCTCGTGCTGATAAATACCTAAGTGATCCAGACTGAACTCTATAAACAATTCTGGAAAATTGAGAATATGACAATAGCTCACATTTCTTGCATGCCTTTAATTTTGGACGTAAGGGGGTGAAGATGAATGTGGCAAAAGCAGAAAGAGGTAAATAAAACTCGCAAGTTGTGTGCAGGCATATTTTCTTTCATTCTACTACACTATTTGTTGTCTTTTTCTATCCACCCCATCAATCACTGCATTCCAAAAGTGTATGCTTATATTACAAATTTCTCTAACATTTGAATTAAGGGAATCAATATACAACATTCCAGAGGTGTGATAATAATGAAATAATCACCCTGGGGCAAGCTTGAAATTGCTTTTGTATTTTTTAGAATTATTGAGCAAGCTGTTTGACAATGTCCTTAAAGAGAAGAATGAAGTAGTTATAAAACTGTGCTTGGGCTACCGAAGTATGATCCAAGCTCTTGAGTACTTTTGTAGCAGCGTACTGGAGTCCTGGAAAACTTGGTGTTCCAGTACAGCTTAAGTAATCAGTATTGATAGTTGTGGACAGTCAGTGTGAGAGTCAGAAGAAATGATCTGCATACTGTTAATGTGTAACTCTACAGTTAAATTGAAGTAACTGCAGTTTACTGTAATGTCTTTATAATATTTTTTTCCCCTGCCTATAATCTATAGGTACAGATAAAATTTAATTTGGCTTGTTTCTCCTAGCTGGATGAGATGATTTCAGAATGAGTTCTATCAAAAGGTGTTAAAAATGCATTAATTAGGATTTTAACTCAGAAGGTAGTTCCACATTTATATTTCTGCTAATAGTTCTGATCCTGACTATCAGAATATCAGTATAGCTCTATTGGGTGATCTTTGTATTATCTATGCAGAACAACATAGATTATCACAGTAGCCACATCGCCCTTAAAGTCCATGAAAACAGTCAACATACCTGCTTTATTGTATCCCTGTTGAGTGTTGATCCATTGCTTATTTAATAAAATAATAATTAAATTATTATTTTATAGGTGTATCACAAACTAATGGATATTTCCCAGGTAGAGAAGGAAATACAAAATTCCATCCATCTTTCAGTTATTTATAAAATGCAGGTGTTAAAGTTGTAAGTATGAAAATGTATCCTTCTACTTGTATTTTGATGCTGCCTATTACAGAGGTAGGATCAGGTTCAGGGATCCCATATGCTCACAGAAAAATCTACTGTGGTTTAATTCCTCAAAAGGAAAATTATAATGACAGTTTGAGTAGTAGCTGTCAGGTCTGTCTAGACAACAGCCTCATCTAAAAAGTGAGCTAGCTCTTTGAGAATGTAGGGATTAGTGTGTTGTACACGTGTTGTCAGGATAAAGAATTTGGGAGTCTGAAAGAATTTTAATATCAAATGGACTCCAGTTCCATTCCCAAGCTACATACAAGAAAGTAAAAATGAAGTGGGGAAATCACCTAAAATACAATGTACAAATCATGGAGCATAATGCTTTTTAAACTCTTTAAATTTTAAAGATTTAAGAAAAATTTGAAAATTAGAGTTCATAGCAAAATCCCATGTAATTTTTTTTTTGTGTCTCAAGATTTCCCCATTTTAAAAATATCAAATCTTTTCTTAGTAACAGTAGATTCATTTATACTGACATTATGGGGAAGGAGTCTTGCACACTGGTTTTTTGTTCTGGAATAAAATTTACTGTCTGAAATATCAATTCGGATGCTGAAGTTAGGCTTTATTGATTTTTTTTTTCTTGATATTTCAATATCCACTTGATATTTCAATATCAGTAGCCTGCTGATACCTTGGAATAAGGGCCATCCATTCTGAAGTTAGGAGAGTTAGTTCAAATGTTTAATGCTATAACACTTCTCACAAAAAATTATGACTCAATTCATTATATGTTGCAGGCAATGGGACACAAATGAATTTCCAAGTGATGCCACAGCAAATCTGAATTCTCTGTATGTGCTTTTGAAACAATATGATGTACCTCCAGCATTTGTTCTCAATGTGAAGTGAGTTTTATTTGTCATAGCCCCCTGGCAGTTGATGAAGCTGATCCTGCTTCCATTGAAGCCTGTCAAAATTCCTGATGACCTTGCAGAAATTGAACTCTTTCTTAGTTGTTCGTGTTGTGTTAACACATAGGTCATTTTAAAAAAGGACAAAATCCTATTAGGCTTTATGACAGAACCCAAGATTAAATATCTTCTTCCATACAGCTGTTTGCATAACATGATTAAATATTTCCATAATAATTTTTCATTGATAAAATAAGATTTTTCAAAGGTCTTTAAATTGACATGTACTTTTCAGACTGTAGCTAATTTTTAACTTTTCCTAGGGCTTTTCCAAACTCTTCAGCGTAAGTTTGAAATGACTATATTGAAAGACTACAATTCCAGTAGTTATATCACAGCTGTTACATATGGAAGTAATACTACATTTTTACTTGTTAAGCTAAACCCTCTCTAGCAATATTCAGATATCTCATCACTTCTCCTATTCCACACAGTACACTATGCTCATCTGGTTATTTACGGACATGCAAACAGTTAGAACAGAGTTTCCATCTCTGTGTCTGTGTTCTTGGTTCCTAGGTAGCAGAATGATAGATTTAACTGCTTTGTGTGCCAGTTCACTGAATTGTATTTCCAAAATTTTCAGCAATTTTTCTGCAGTCTGAACTTTCTTACTTCACCGAGTCTGTGCTTCATGCATTTCATTCTGTATTTTTTGTCTTCTTCATTCTGTTTGTGCAGACTACATAGGAGTATGTAAATTATTTTCCATAAATAGATTAACCTTTGTATTTTTCATGTAGTCAACTTTGAACTCTTTCTTTTTTCCTTGCTAACTGTGGTCGTTACAAGTGTAATTATAATAATAATTATAATAATATTTGACATTTTAATAATAATAATTCCTCTAATATTCATATGACTTTCAGGTTTTCAGATACATTGCACAGTTACTTTCAAATAACTTTGGTTATTTAATTCCATGGTGGTTTTTTAATTCCATGGAAGAGCAAAATCAAACTCTCTGAGTGACGTTTTTCTATTTTTGAAGGATTCCTTTGATTCTGGAATTAGCTCATTTTTCTCTGAAAGTAAACTGCACTGAGCTCACAGCTCATTGTATACTTGATTTGAAGAGCGCTCCAATTACTGTAAGTTTTAATTATGTGTTTAGATTTTTTTTTTTTACACACAACCCTCCAACTACCACACCCCTTTTGTGTTTATATTTAAAAAATAGTAGTAATGGTTCTACAGTATTCTGTGTATTGTTTATATATTCATTGAAATCAATAATTATTTTGATACTTGATCCTATACTATAGAAGTAGATGCAAAGTCAGAAAGTAGGGTGTGGGTAGACTAGGGTGATTAGCAGTGCAGTTTGTTTTGGCAAATAAATATTAACTGTAAATTTTTGCTTATGTTTTTAAAATGTTACCCGTGCAAGGGTTTGATTGGAGGTTAAATTCCAATTTCTATTATAATGATCCCACTTAGAGTTACTCATAACACTTAACTTATCCTCACAGAACTTTTTTTAATTCTGGATGTTTGATTCAGGCCCATTATTCTGAACATTTCCTAAAAGTTTAAAATCATATACAAATCCATAGCATTCCACCTAGATCAAAGATTCACAAGGATTTAATCTAAGTCTTTATGTAGACAGTAGTCAGAAATATCTGTTGTGCAGCAATATAGAAACTTTGCTTCTATTTCAACCTTCTCCATTTGAGTTAATGTGTTTTTAAGTGACCATCTTCAGATTGCCCAGCATCACTGGACAGTGATTTCTTGTTATAGCAGAGTAAGAGAAATTTATGTAAAATTTTCAGTTCCTTGGCTTTTGCCAAGTACTGGCAAATTTCTCAACCATTACATGAATTCCATCTCTGTGTGTATTTGTCAATAAGTTTTTCCACAATCTCTTTTCTAGTCATGAGGATGTTAAATTACCGAAGATCATGCTGAGTGATTTGATAATAGCTCATAATGAATTAGGAATGGAGACGCTGTCTGAATTTCCTTACTACACCAATTTAACCCAAATGCAGCGTATCTTAGGTGTTTCTATGATCCATACATATAATTTATATGATTTAATAATCAGCTCTTTCTTAAGCTGTTAAAAGTCTAACCTCATTTTACACTTAAAAGTTTCACTGCCCATCAAGCTGAATCCTTTCTGTTTTGACCAGATTGACTTGACTATTCCAACATGTATCTTTTTATTAATGTTAATGAGTAAATGGAAGAGGGCAGATTTAAATCAGATATTGGGAAAATATTCCTCCTTGTGAGAGTAGTGTGGTCCTGGCACAGGTTGCCTGGAAATACTGTGGCTGCTCCATCTCTGGAAGCGTACAAGGTCAGGTTGGACAGGTTTGGCACATATTGGGATAATGGAAGGTCTCCCTACCCATGGCTGGCACTGGATGGGGTTTAAGGCCCCTTCCAACCCAAACCATTCTGTAATTCTAGGATTCTATTAGAACTGAAATCAGTTCCTTCTACAGTACAGAAGGAAACAGGTGTACGCTGATTTTCTTGCTGCAAATTCTGGCAATGAGCAGCTTAAAAGTTATTATGCAGCCTCCAGTGAGTAAAAAGTGACTGCAGTTCAAACAACAAATTCTATTCCCTTTGTATCATTTCAGTTAACTGGCTAGTATAATGGGATTTTCAGTAGGAAAGTACAGTGCTGTGTTACTTCAATTGCATAGGTTTAATCTTTATTTTATTTCTTTTTAACTATTGAAATAAGCATTTTCTGTATTAATACTTCATAGGAGCAAGGGAAACTTATTGAGATAGAATGTCTGGAATGTGAATATGAAATGAAGAAAAATGGTACTGAAATTGTGACTTATACAAAAGGAGTTGTTGAGGTATGTTCTTTAACTTTGAGGGGAAGGTAGAAGTTTTAATTTGCTAAATGTGGAAAGTTGCATTTGACTGTGTGTCTTAATTACATTATATTGATAAGGATTTATTTTAACCTTCATAGTCTTTTCAATTGGATTTACAGGAAGGAAATGGAGAAAAATAAACCAAAGTTGTGTGTTGCTCCCTTAAGTCTTCTGTCTGACCATAAATAATATTCATAATATTTTACTTTCCAAGAGCAAAGATAGTAACATTGAGGCATGGAAGGGCAACACTCTCATGTTTTCATATTTTGCCTTTATGGGAACTCTTTTCATGGAATATCTTGGGTTGGAAAGGACCACTAGGGCTCATTAAGCCCGTCTCAACTGTGATTCCATGTTGTGGTCAATCTCATAAAAAATTCTTGTGTCAGAGAAATGCAGATTGTTCCTGATAAATCATCACACTAGAGAGGATTTTCTTGAATTTCTGTGGTCTGTTGGCTCAGTTGTAATTCAGATCATCAAAGTTAGAAGCCTAAATATCCATATTATCAATGGGATTAGAGAGATGCTTACAATGACCAGTTTAGACCAGCTGTTAGAGTCACCTGAAGTTCCTACAGTAGGAAGTAGGAATATGTTTAATGGAAATTGGTAGTGCCAAGACTTTCTCCTACCTAGGTTTGTTACCATTTTTGTCACCATTTTTATTTTTTTTGGCTCATTTTGAGTCCAGAAATTAAACTCACCTTTTGAAAAAAACCCTCTTGTAAATGAATTCTTCATAATATGAAATACTACTAAAATGTAAAACAGGATATTTGGGTATTTCCAAACTTTAAGTCTACAGTGTATGCAGTTGGAGAGGGATATTGTTTGATTTTTTTCTGGTTTTTGGGTTTTTTTCACTTTCATAACCCCTAAGAATAGCATAATAAATGACATGTCTGTTACTGTAGGTAACATTGGCTTTTAGATTTAATAAGAACCAAGTTTAATTGACAGTATGGCAAATTCCATTCATAATACTTCTTTTTTTTCCTTTTCTGCACTGCATCTGTAGCTGAATGTGAAAAAAACCCAAAACAGCTAAACATTCTGAATTCACAAGTATCCACAATTATCAAGTTTTTTTTGTCATAAGACTGGGGAATAGCTGACAGACTTCTGCCAGAAATATGTAAGAACAGCCTGGAGCACCTAAAAGAAATACTCCTTAGTTATTGATGCCTGTTTAAAAAAAAAATATTAAAGGAATTATTAAGAAAAAAAATTCCAATGTCTGCTGGCTGAGGGGCTGCTTTCTACTGAAAACAGCCCTAAGATTAAAATTTGAAGCAACATGTAAGAAATTCCATTTATTAAATGCGGTAATGCTAATTAATTCTTCATGTATATAGGCTCAGCTGAAATTGATAAAAAATCTTGAATTAACGTTAAAACGGGCAGTTCATTTGGGAGATCCTGGTGCAATTCAGGTTGTTTGTGCAACCCAGTGGAATCTGTGCTTACCATTACTACAACACAATTTGCGTCAACATGTGCGAAAGCCACTGATCTCAGTTGCTGATGTCCTTGAAAAGATTGACAGGTAATTTTCTATGCTCTGTACTTTTTTGAAAGGTCTCAAAGCATCAACCTCATTTAAAAGCTCAAGTTCTGTGATATTAAGTGTCAGAGAATTTTCCACTAGCTTGTAATAAATTCATGTCTGCACGTTGCATACATTTCTCTGTTAATCATTTAAATATAGGTTCCCTTCAGGCACAATCTAACACTGTTTAATGAGCTGTAACAAATATTGAAATATTGTAGGAATTTAAAAATATTCTAGTTAATCAAAATTATGTGAGAAAATTCCAAAACTGCAGTATATATGCTGAACTGTGGTCTAAATTCTTGTGTTTTAACCAACATTGCTTTTGTTGGTTAAAAAAATAAAATTAAAAAAAAATACTTTTGAAAAAACATCATGGCTTGTATAGTATATGTCAAATAAGACAGTTCTTGCAAGATACTATTTTTGTATCTTTGGTGATACTTCTTTTTAATTGGAAAACCTACTGTATTAAGAAAATTTTGGATTTTTTGAGATATATTTTTCAATTTGCTATTATGCCATACTTAACCTTAAGCACCTAAGTATTTTCACCAATTTTTGTCAATTTGAGTCAACAAGTAAATATTATTGTTTGGTATGTAGTTGAGTTTGGGCCTATGCATAGTCTGAGTGTTAAGAACAGAGATCAGAATTTTTGCAGTAGAGTGAGTTGCAGTTGACACAAGCTGCCATTTAAGCAGGACACTAGGTGGTTTCTGCTGCAAGTATTGCAGAGGAAGGTGAGGAATCTAATTTCAGTGTTTTTTAATTTATTTTTTTTTAGTTGCATAGAGACTGGATGTACACATGCATGAAAGCATGATATTGTATTACTGTAATGTTATTCAAGTATTTCTTATGTTTTCCATATAGGGAATGCAAGATCAGCATAGGCAACTTTGAAATTTCTACTAAGTAATAAACAATTTTTCTCTAAAAGCTTGAAGGGAGATTTTGGAGCAGTTAGAGTTTGAGGGTTTGTCACACGTATATTCTTAACACTCCAGTAGGCTCAGTCTCAACTCTGATGTGGTACTGTCTCTGGAGATTGAATGAAGTAATTTGTCTCTATTAATTTGCCTGTCTTAATTTTTGTTTTGATTGCAGCTTTAACTGTGGCTACTTTGATCCACAGGAAAAGGTGATACTTGTTCAGTAAGGCTGGCTCTGATGTGGGCATACATTAGTTCTATGGCATGGTATTTGATAGGCTTGAAAACCTTCCTTCTCTCTCTTTATCGTAACTTTGCTTTTATTTATATGATTTTTTGTTTTTCTTCCTGAAAATAATCAGTAGTAGCATGTAGAGCTCTGAGCTGTCCTGAACAGCTTTCTGGGGCAGATGATGGATAGGGAGCTGAGTGTACCTGAGACTGGAGAGCATGCAGCTTCTGGTGAAAACATACTGGCTCCATACAGTGGTGTCAACATCACCTGTGTAGACACGGTACTTAGAGTGAATGCGTATGCCTGAGCTGAGCAAATACAACCAGGGCTAGACTTTCAGGAGTATTAGCTTCTACTTTAATGTTAGGAACAGAGAGTGAACTTTTGTCAAAAGTCGTTATTCAGCACATTATCATTTCTCTGGCAGTTAACTACTTTAGAAAACCTTTTCACTTGATTTGCAGACCTAACTGGTGCTGAAAGAGTTCTACGGATGTATAAAGATCAGTTAGTCCACAAGATGTGTTACTTTATCCTACAGGGTCAATGAAGTAATATGCAGTTGAATTTTCTTATTAATTTCAATTAAAAAGGCATGATACTGAAAATCAAAGAAAAAAGTCAGTTTAGAAGGGAGTACCAGTTTTAATACTAGAGTCTCTTTTAATTATTGAGTTTCACCTTTGGGTGAGTTTTAGGTCTAAAAAATTTAGTGTGACTTGTTTTAACAGTTTACACTTCAATTTGTAATCCTTAGCATGTTGATTTTGTTGCGTTGCCAAGTTCATATGGAAATAGCTCGTATTGAAGAAGATGGGGATAGACTAGAGGCTGCTCTGGAACATGTGCATAAAGCTATGCACCTGAACAACAATGGACAGTATCAAGAACATCTAAGGCTGTGTTTTAACCGCCTTCGTTTGAGTGTCGTGCTGTATGAGCCACCTGAGCATCTAGAGGATCAGGCGTTAGTGCTGATTGAACAGGTAAGCCTGAAGAATAAGGTCTGTGCCTGGAATAGGCTTGCTTATTAAATTCCAGCAGAGGAGAGACAACTTTTTAGTAGAATTGCATATTAGTAGAGCAAACATCAGCTTGTTTTCAGAAAACTGTCTTTGCTTTGTTGCCTTGAAGTGGTCGTGCTGCTTCACAGCCTGAAGATTGTAATAGAGGACTTTTTTCCCAATTCTTTCAAAGCTTATTTCTTGGAGGAAGGTGGGGAGTTGTTAATTGGCAGAAATATCAGAAAAAAAAATAAATAGTAGTTGTCAATAATTAGGATGTCGTTGCATGAATCTGTGTTTTGTTTAATAGAAACACAGTGTCCAAGTTGCTAAATGTACTAGCTATGAGAAAAAAACAATATTACATGACACTTAAAAATGCCACTAAATAATATACTCTACAGTCACAATATAGGCATTGTCAAGAGTTACTGCATTTAATTCTGTTGTGCTGCCTTAGCACCTGAACAAAAATCATACTTGCAATTGATTGTTTTCCTGGTTTAAATGCTTTTCCATGCAAGCTTACTCTATTTAAATGTTGCTTTGGAAAAACCCACACCTCCTCTGATTTTGGCTAGTTCTTAGCAGACCAGGACTTTTTTTCTATTTTATAACAATTCCTAGTTACTGTACGCTGGATATGTTTCTGTTGGTTGTAAATAAATACTGTCCTTTGTTTGAGTAGGTATAACATAATGTCAGTCTATATACTGAGGGATATACTGTAAAGATTCATGAGAAGCAGGAACAGTACTTCATATTAAATTATCTGTGGTGTAATCATGTGAAAATCAGCAGAAGTTCCACGGTCACTTTCAATTACAATAATATTGTAGAATGATGTGTAAGATACCTAAAGATATACAATTCCTATGGGTATTCTTTTGGTAGTAGCAAGTTATATGATGTGTATTCTGTTATGTTTAGTAAATAAGATCTAGTTGAAATATAAAATGAACCTTACAAGTTCTTTTCTTTATATAGGCTAAAAGGGGAAACCAAAAGGATAATGCAAGGAAAAAGAGATCCCTTCTGGTAAATGCAGGTCTTGCATTAGCTCCTGACACGTTTCAAATAGTCCTTGACAGTGAAAATGAAGCTAAAGGTAAAGTATGTGTGTTTGACTAAAAGTTGCTACACTTTGCTTTTCACATTCTTAAAGGCTGGACATAGCATCTAGTGGCAACATATAGGGAGTATTGCAATACAGATGAAGTGATAGTTCTGCTGAATTCTGTGGCAGACTTCCTACCATTTTCATTAGGGATCTAAAAGTTGTATGGTGATACTGGGAAAGGTATTGATTTCCCCTCCAAATTCCTCTGAATCTTACTGTTGTGCTGTGGTGTGCTCTAAGTAGTTCTACATTCACTGTGTACAACTCCTGAATGCTTTTAACTAAGGTCATTTTTAAGTGGTGTTTTCAGAAATTTCACCCAATAATACCCTGCGTTAATTACATTGGGTATTCTTTCTATATTGTAATCGTCTTTTTCTTCTAAGGTCTTGCTTTTGAGAGCTCTAGTTTTGCACAGAGATTTAGGTGTGAATTCATGATTTGCTTCTAAAACATAGAACATAAACGGACACATTCCTTATGCCCCAAGCAGCTTTAGTTTGTGATTATATAGCCTCTGGTTGAGGAAAAGTGGACAGGGAACAGACTTCCCAGATTGCTTAAACTGTTTTGTATTCTTTGGGCAATAAAACAAGTGTGTGTGTGTGTGTGACTAATTTTATTAACTTTGAGTGGAGCCGGTGTACTCCTGCAGAGAGGAGAGATTATGCTGGAGGAAGGGAATGCTGCAGAAAGAATCCCATTGCTTCCAGAGCAGCCTGTGTGTGCTGTGGAAGACCATGCAGTTCTCTCATGCTGTCTGTTCAGCCAGGCCACAAAGTTCACCTTGCATATCCCCATTTCAAACTTGATCAACTAATCCCTTACAACCCAGAGTCTTATTTGCAGATCAACTATTCCACTCTGTGCAGTCCTTTTAAGAATGTGAAAACTATGTTGCTGGAAAGTACTTTCATACATTGTTTAAAGTGATAAAATTTATTGTATTTGTGAAATTAAGTGAATTAAAATCATGGACATCTCCTCGCTTTTAAATTTTAACTTGACAGCTGTACAATTACTTTTGAAGTTCCTCAGAATAAATTGAGCACACATTAGCCTTCCAGACTGAATCTTTAAAATGAGTGAGATTATTTCGACATTGAAACTATTACAAGACTTCTTTTGACACAATATTTTATAAAATTTTATTTTTATAAAATTTTGTTCTAAAAATATTTCAGTTGTTTCTTAGACTGTCATCCAAGCAGTGAGTTTTTTGCTTTTTCTATGACTCAAGTTGCCACAAGCTTACATATGTGCATTGAAGGAGTAAAAAAATATATATGCAAATTTATTACAAAAAATGTACATAGGACAGAACATTAGATTTATAGGGTCGTTTTTTTCTTTTCAGTTGCATAAAAAACTTTCATTTTATTTTGATGTACATCTTTGCCTTATATAGTGAGAGCCATACCCACAGATCCAAAGAACAATGTCCTCCTTTAATCCACAGTTCTTTTCATCCTTACATGACCCAGCTGTCATTGTGGATTGTACTGGACAATTTCTGTCAGTTGCTCTATGTGTTTACTTTCACAGTGGTATCATATCCTGGACAATGCATTGCAAAATATATTTAGCAAGAATGGTAAGATGTTGTGCCTTCTTTTTGTTGTAAGTGATCCTGCTTAGATGTATATTTTAAAGTCTGAAGTACTTTATAGGTATTTGCTGGTATTGTTTGGCAGATTTTTGGAGGATCAAGTTAAAACCTTTTCTGTCTGCATAATGTTAGGGAGTCCTTGCTTAGATTCTAGTGAATGTATAAACTCATTGGGCTTTCCAATCATGACAAATTACTTGTATTCTAATGCAAAACATGTCTTCTCTGTAATTTGACTACCAAAAAAATAAAAAATAAAAAAACAATCTCTTTTTGATGTGTTTATGCTGCTGGAGTAATTTTTTTCCTCAGGGAGCTAGCTTCTTCCTCCCTTCCTTCATTTCTGTGCTGGTTATTTCTTTATTAATATTTCTGCCTAATACCTTGTTGACTAAGTAAAATGAAAGTCAGTATTCTCAAAAAAAACCAAGTTGATTGAAAATGCATTTGGTTAGATAAACATTCTTAAAATTTAGCATGAGTGTGTACTTTACATATTACATGGTTCACTTGCTCTTGAATGAGCCTAACTAGAGTACTACCTGTCCTGTCAGAAAAGAGGTGTATTTGAGATATTTGGATACTAAACAAGCATGGAGCAGTTTTGGATGGGACCAACTGTAACTTTTCTCTAAAAAATTCTTTTTCTTTTCTTTTCTCTTTCTTGATTCTGTACTTTTCCTGGATTTCTCAGTCTCCTCTGAGCTGAGCTCCTTGGGGATATTCCTTCACGGGAAATCCTGTTTATCACAGTCCTCCGGGTCAGGACAAAAACTTCAAAGCCTGTTAGAATCTTGTTTCTCGTGCTTATTAGGATGTTATCACAAAACTTGGCAGGTCTCTCCAGACTTTCTGCACAAGTTCGGTTCACTGCAATCTGGCTCATTTTCTTCTGATGGTACAGAATGGCCTTGTGGCTCACTTTGTGGCTCACTTTGACTTTGAAAGCACAAAATGGCCCCAAACTACGCAGTTCTTTTATCTTTATACTTATTTTTATCCAACTAACAATAGACACGTGTATTTTTTTTTCTTAATGACCCAATGACCCATCACCTATGTGCTGCACAGCGGCATTTTCTAGCCAATCACTTACTACTACCCAAAAACCTCTAGAAGAAGAACATGAGGAAGAAAGAAGGAAAAGAAACAACATTCTAAATCCTCCATCTTGCCTTCTGCTTTCTAAACTAACTTAAACTCTAAACTAACTTTTTCACCCAGTGACTTAAGAAAACTCTCTATTCTACATGCTCACACTCTCAGCTTTTCTATCTAACTTTAACAGTTGTTTTCATGTATCACCATGAAAACATGCTTATGAATTTCATGTTGTATGAAATTCAGTGTTCTTCTGGACCTTAGAACTAAGTATCAGAAACAAGGGCATACACTCTGTGTCTCAGACTCCAACACCAACTGTATCTCAAGATACAGGAAAAAAACTAAAGTAGGTGTTGGTGGAGTATGTTTTTTTTCATGTTGGTTGGTTTCAGGAAAGCTTGAAGAAATGAGAAAAGGGATGGATTTTGAGTGTTTCAGCAAGAAATTATGGATCTAATTGCTTGCCATTCATGTGGGTTTTTAAATTTTTAATACATAAAAATTACCTTTAATTTTTATTTCTTTACCAAGTTTCCTCAGGTAAAAGTAATAGTCAAATAAGCTACCTCTGTGCAAAAGCCCAACATCATACTAAAAGTGTGGAGAAAGTTGATGAACATCTGAAACACTTAAGAAATGAAAATGGCAGAGAAAGGTAATTGCTATAGACCAGGAGTGTCTCTTTCATCTTTTGTATAAGTCTCCAAGAGGAAAGGTTCTGTCTCAGAGGATTTTAGTGAATGGTACCTTGTAAGAGGCTGAGTATTTCAGCCACTGGCAGCATATTGAAGCGTGTGTATAATTTCTTGTTCAAAAAGCTCTGTCACATTTCCATGCTATGCAGAAATTTACTCTTTCCCTGTTTCTAATCTGCTCTTTCACATGCACACTGAAACTCACTGTGCTATTGATATGGCCCCAACATACAGAGGGATGTGCGGATTGAGGCTTGTACTTGATGTAGAATTGAAACTTGCGAGAGTTTTTTGTAGCACATCATGTGCTACAACCTTTTTGGTAAAAAAGCGAAGTAGGTCATTCTGAAAGTCAGAAAGATTAATCTGTAGAAAAATGACAAGTTTGATTTTGACTATATATAATTTTGTCATTCTTTATTTAAAAGGATGTGTCTACATTTTTGCTGCACTAAAAATTCCTATGCTGAAATTTAAAGGTAGTTGTTTTCTAAAAGATTCTAAATCCAAACATGTTTTCAAGACTTTTTTTTTAAATTCTCAACATTAGTTTTGAAATTTAACTTGAAGTTTAATTTATGAGATAGAAAATGAGGGTTGTCACACATATTTTGAAACTTCAATGTGATTACCATCCAGGACAAGAATTTTGTCTCTTGATATGCTGAGGAGATTATTTTTAACTGATAAAGTATAAGTGTTACCTTTGCTCTGACAAGAAGTCTTCCATGTATTAATTTTGATTAGATGTAATTTTTTTTCCTGATGGCCATCATTATTGACATAATTGTTTGTTGTCAATCCTGATCTGTGAAACTTAATCCTGCTTATTAACTAATTTTATTTATGCTTTTTCTTTGGTAGAATTATACTTTGGGCAGATTTGGCAAAAGTTGCATGCAAACAGGAAGTGTGGGATGTCTGTCGTGCAGCATGTAGATTTTGTCTCTTGTATGATGATATTTTGTTTAGGGAGGCAACAAAGCATAAAAAAGGTAAGTGACAAATTATTTTCAATGTTGTAAGGGTTTTTTTTTCATCATTTATTAAAGTTACTAAAAGGAGTCAGACAATATTGTTTTCTTTCCTCCCATTCCCAAAGTTCCCTGAGTTTCTTTTCTGGCACTGCATGTTGGCATACATGGAATATTCTTTCTACTTCCAGATCTAGAAATTAGTCATTATGGTTTTTTGTAGAAGCCATACTCTGCCGTCAGAAGTGTTTTACCAGTGCTGTAGAGAAGGACTTCTGAGAAATACATCTGTCTTAAGAACACAGGCAAATTTCCTAATTGTCATCTAGGTTCATATCATTCACGCCTGGTGGAGCTGTAGAAAAATGGGTTGTTAGTCACTTTGCATGAGGCTCACATGTTAACATTTTTTACCCTTTAATCCCCTATTAGTGAGTGGCTCCTCTGAGATATCCAGCATTGTACTGTGTTCCTTGAGGGTCAGCTGGAAACCTAGCGCACGTTAAGAGTTTTTAACTTGGGGGGAAAAAGCACTTTCAAATCACTCTCTGCTTGCTGGCTTTTAAAGTTGGTTTTGTCAGGGAGTTTGTAAAACTGACATTTAAGAATAGATGATATTGTTTTTCTTTTCACTAGCCAAAGTTAATTGAACCTATTCCATATTGTTTCCAAGGTCCATTTAAAATAGGACATCAATCTGCTGATTTTCTTTCACAAGCTTTGTATCTTCAGACTAGCTGTGTTTAATCTTTAATCTTCTTTCCAAACAAAATAAGGGAAAAATAAGTACACTTAGCAGAAACTGAAGGCAGCCATGTGCCAAAAATGTCATGAATAGAAATTGGTATGTTCTTAAAAACTTTGTGTTTATATTAAAATGATCTTAGTCCTTTCTGGTTTTTACTAAAACAAAGAAAAACAATGCTGTTTCTCTCTTTACCAATGTGTGCATTACAGCAAGTCAACCCAGTCGATGATTCAAATGCACAAAGACTTTAGTCTCTGCATAATTCAGTTCTATGCTACACTTCCATTAATGCAATAAAATTGAACTAGAGGCCATGGGGTCTATTCACACTGAAATTTCATTATGCATTTGTTGTAACTGGAGCAAGTTATTTGCTGCAAATATTAAAGGTTATGCACAAATGCAGCAAAATCGCAGGTAACAGATGCCTCAGCAGCGCTGGAGAACACATTTTGAGTGCAATAAATGGTACTAATGAAAAAGTTAATTGCATGAAATAGTTATAAATCTCTTCTTGTTAACTATTCCTTGTAAATTTAAGAATATGTAGGGATTTGTAAATTTAAAAATGAAGATGATTATTTGCATGGAAATAATAATGGGTTTTTTTCTTTTTAGCACAGAAGAACAACACTAATCCAACTATGATGATTGATGGTCAAGGTGACAGCTCATCAGGAGAATCATTGCTGCCTGCTAAATCCTTCTCTTTTGAAGCAGATTTGCTCAGAATACTAGCAGAAATAAGATTTATTAATGCAGAGGTAAATAAATTGCACAACTGTCATTCATATTTGTTTAGTTTTGTTTCATATACAAATCTTGAAGCACTGCAATTTTGAGTTTAGTTATTTTCTATCTCCCTAGGAAGTAAAGGAAGAAGTGGTTTCATGAAGCAACCTTATCAAAATACTGTGTGAAAGTAACAATATATAGCAATAGTTTTACTGCAGGTGCTGATAATACTTCTTTACAAGAGATTCTACTGTAAATTTTTGTCAACACATTTCTGGATCCAGTTCCAGCATGATTTAAAAACTTACACATATAAATTATCCTTTTTACTCCATGTAATTATTTGGTAAAATTATATGTAGAGAATTTTAAGCTTATGAAGTACTAAGCATTGTATTTCATATACTTGTACATGCCTGTACAACATTTGAAAAAACATTTTGTATTTTTTAGTTTTTGAAGAGGTAAGAACACTAACATGAAGTCAGTCTCTTTTTACAATGATAACCTGGGTAGATAATTTATTTCTCTGTGTCTTTTCAGGCAACTGTTCATTTATTAAGATTGCAGGGAATCAAACTGAATGATCATGCTGTTCCTCCAGAAGCTATGTACCAATGTCATCCAGGATATGTTTCATATCTTCCTGAAAGTGATCCAGAATGGAAAACGTACAGGTGCTTTTTTGTAATACATATCAAGAATAAGGAACTCTTAACTGATCATTATTATCAGACACAAATGATAATTGCAAAAGCTATTTCTCTATAGTAAAATTGTCACCAGATTCCTCATTTTTGAAATGGGAAAAAGATCTAAATGGGAAAAAGATCCAAAAAATAGTTTGAAATATTTTTCTTAGGTCTCCTTTCATTCTGAAGTGTGGACTTTATTTTTCATTTAACATTTATTTCTCTGAAACTAGAAGCTAGTATTCCAAGCTGAAAAATTATTAAATCGCTGTACATTGACACTTAGATTATTAAATTCTGTATTTAAAAAAATGTTTCACCCAATTCAAAAAGCTCTTTTTGTCTTGATTTATAGCTTCTTCTTTTTGTCTTGATTTATAGCTTCTATGCATATAATGATTTTGTAGTACTGAATGCATACAATGCATTATTTCAGTTTGCAGATCTAGTGTGTTCCATCCAATCAACTGAAATGAATTTGAGAGAGTAGAGTATAGAAAGTACTGGTGTTTACTGGTCTGACATGATAATTTCTTGAGAAGGAGAAGAAGGGGGAGAGAAATTTCTGAAGATGGTGCTGAGACTCTTCTGTTCACATTCATAGTAATACCAGCCTTACTGTTACCGTGGTTATGTCCTGAGAGAGCAGGATGCCAGAGTTGTGTCCCTAGGTCTGTTCATTAAGTTTGAAAATTAAGTAAAGTTTCTCACACAGTCTGCCTGCAAATGTTCAGTAGAACAGGAAAAATTATAAACTGATCAGAGCCAAGGGGCAAAGAAGATGAGAATTCTGTTCCAAAATTTGCTACTAGCTATTTTTAACTTTCCCTAATTAGATTAGAAACCCATAGGAAAGAGGACTTTGGTCTGGTACTGTGTCCTGTACCATTGCTGACATAGTAATATCCAGTATCAGTTTATGCTTTAGACTTTATGACTTCTTAACCATGGCAATTCTATATGATCATTCAAGACTGTAGTTTTAGAATTTTTTTTTCCTAAGTAATAGTACATTTTGGTAATTAAGAAAGAAAATAAGTTTTTTGAAAGAAAGTTACTGCATAGACTGTGAAAAAAATGTTACTGTATTTAAAACAATTATAGAATTTCAGAGCACCTGGAAATGTCTTTGAGTGCAAGAACATATGCAGTTTTTTGTAAAAAGGATACATCCTTAACTCTCAGATGACATGCCTCACTTATATCTATATTCAAATACAGCCTTGACATGATTATTTAATGATTTCTGGCACTGATGGGTGGATTCACACATTCATTTAAAAAACCTGAACATGTTGATGAAACATGAGCCATAGACACTGTTTTTGAAGCTAATAGCATTTGAATGTTAGAGACTACTCATTTTATGTTGATACTACTTCCTTTTCTGAACAGTCTTCTCATCAAAGTAAAATATAAGTCAGTGGATGAGAACTTAATAAATGCAACTGAAAAGTAATAACATTTTTGTTCTTGTGGTTAATTAAGATGTAGGACTGCATTTTTAGCCTTATGATAGAATTCCTTCCGGTGTTGAAGCTTTGGAATAACATCTTTTTTATCCTAATTTTATAGTTTATGGATAGACAGCTTATCTCAGTATGCTATGGAAAACTTCCAGCGTGCAGCTGAAATAGGAGAAGAATTGAATGATGCCTGGATTGTTCACAATGCTGTGGTGTATGTCTTAAATTATAACAGACATCTGATTTCTTCAGGAAGACAGAGGGACATTATTGAGTATCTGCAGACTCTTCTTGGAGCCATCAAGACTGTTGGGCACAATGGGTAAATTTAGATGTTTGGATATGAACATGCTCTTTATTTTCTAAAACATAACAATATTTTTGCAAACATTGGAAGGCACTTTGTGCTGTGAAATATTTATTGCTGGCTTTCATTGGTAGTGAAAAAGCCTTGGTATATATAGAGTAGCTCAGGAGTTAAATTGTGAAAATTAATTATTAATTCTTTCTGTTTCTTTTTTGTTACACTGTAAGCCACGCTAACATTAGACCAATAAATACTACTTTTTCTTCAGTGTGGAATAGCAACACATGCATGTAAAATAGCATTCTGCTAAGTTAGTGAGAAAATTGGGAAAAATCTCTCAGACTGAATTTGCACAACAGCTCAAAATGCATTTGCTTGTTGTCAGTTCTCTAAACTTGAATTATTTTGTAAATATAGTTCATTGCAAATATTTCTAACCAGTGTAAGGTGATTACAGCTGGTTCTGAAATAAGAGAAAATGGAAACCAAAATAAGCTTAAAAATACTAAATAGACTTTATTTAAAAATAAAAAATGGGAATGTGCTCTTTAGTAGACCATGAAAATGGGAGCATGGACTCCACAGTGGTTTAGAGAAATCCTGTTCTGGAGTAAATGCAATGGGAGAATGATTGACCATTGTGGAGTAGATATTCCAGTCAAAGTCTGACTATGGGACAAGTTCCTAGATATTTTGGCACTTCATTGACAGTGACCTCATCACTCGGTAGAGTAAGGACCAGCAGCAAAGAAACCTCTTTTAACAGTATTGGGGAATAACATCTAAATTTCAGTTTGTGCAGACATGAAGACTGGTAATACCTGCTTATTAGTTTTGATACTTACATCAGTATGTACTAGCAATAATCTCTTAGATGCAATTAGCTTAATGTTTTCTCAAAAAAAAAAAGTCTCAGCTTGGCAGTGGATTGGCATGATAACCATAAAAAATGTGAAGGGCTTGGTTTAGAATGATATTTTAGAAAATAGTTGCTCTTTTCATAGGTACCAATCAATAAAAAGTTGTTTTAAATGTTGGTCTGGCCTATAATTTTTTTTTTCTCTGTGATGAAAGGGAAGCTTCAGTTACAGAAAGAGTGAGAAAAATTGATGTTAACAGAAAATTGGTTGTGGGTTTTGTAGTTTTAATTATTAAATTAATTGCTTTACCAAGGGGCAGATTTTTTTGGTAATATCCATAATTTTGCTTTCTAAGAAAAAAATCGATTTTCAAGTAATGCTTACTTCTTGAAATCAGTAACTTCATTCCTGCTTTCTATTTTGATCTGATGCTGTATGTACTTCTGTTTTCTTCTACAGAAGTATTGAAATTTTACTGATGTTATGTAATGCTTTGGCTCGAGGCCTAATTATTTCTTGGATTCCAAAGCCAAAACCTGCTGAGAAGAAAGACGATACGGCAATAGAGAGTTGCAGAAAAGCTCCAGAAAAAAACCAGGAAAAAGCGAATATCATCCAGACTCTTTCAGTAGATCCTAATGGACTTCCTGACATCAAAGCTGCCTTAGAGGTACAAACCCCTTATTTTTTGTAGTCCCTTTCATTCTGCTGTCCTATATCAGAATTCCTATAAATTCAATAGAAGAAATTTTTGAAACAAAAAAAGCTACCTTCTTTTACAGTTTCTACCACCATAGATCCTCCCCAAATCCACACTGGAGCTCCTTACCAACTTGGGGCTGAGGACTGCAACTTCTGTTTGCCTTGGGTTGACTTAAAGGAGATGTTGTTAGGCTTAGAAATGCATGTGCAATAATTTAAAAATAACTAATGGATAACATGTTACATACAAGAAACTTTCCACATTCTCCTGTGTTTTGCATTTATTTTTTCTCTTCTTGGTGTTTAGATTTGTGAATTTGCCCTAAATGCAATGAGTGGAACCATGTGTAAAGAAAAAGTCTCTGTTGCTGCACAACAACAGATCATTGCTACATGGGTGAAAGCAAAGCAGTTAAATCAGCAGCAGGTCAGACATCAACTTGGGATGCAGGAGGAGGTATGAGTTCCCTGAAACCCCGCATAACGTTGAAGCATTACAAAGATAAGTTAAATTCATAAATAATAATGACTGAAATTATCAAGGTGTATTTTATTCTGTATACTTGATTAGAATGTAAAAACAAATTTTGGCTGTAGTTCCTTACTGAACATAGCAAATTTTTCACATTGGGTTTAGCAGTGAGTCTACATTTCTTAACTCTTCCTTCTGTTGTTAGCTGCCATGGTGATGTTTGTCATATGATGACTGTCGAGAAAAATTGATTTTGAATTCATAAATGTAAAATAGTAAAATGGCTGCATTAAAAGTGTTAATAAAAATCAGCTATATTTATGTCAACATTGACAGTGGCCTCCTTATTTATAGATTATAGACTTAGTAAGCTGGAAAGATCTATTTTAGTCTTATATTTTTATTTTATAGTGTCTATAAAACTGGAAACCCTCAGTGGCATGTGAAATTTGCCTCCATTGTATTGTTGATGTGGGCTTTTAGTGTTGAAACTGTAATACTTCAGAGTTCACAATGTTAATTAAAAATATATAAATACAAAAAATAAACAATTTTAAGGACACAGTAGAGAGCAGGAATTGCTTAGAGCAAATTGAGGTACTTTAAATTACTATTATTATTATTATTATTATTATTGTTGTTGTTGTTGTTGTTGTTGTTGTTATCTTGTCATCTCAATTAATGTCCTTAATAATATTAACTTGCAAAAAAACACCAATCAAAAATCTCTGAATGTGGATTTTTTTATTTCTGCTTAGGATAATAATGAAGCACAAAATCCTCTGGCAAGAATTCTTGTTGGTCTGGAAATGTATTCATGCAATGGCTTGGGTCTCATGGATTTCACTGTTCCTACCTTAGCTCAGGTATTTTGCTTTTTTTTAAGAAGCTTTTGAGTTTTAAAAAATTGCACAGTATGAATTTGATTTCAGAATCAATTTTAATTAGAGTTTAAATTATTTTTGAAACTTTTATTGTACTATTATTTTCTTTAACCAAGAGATTAAATATTTATGACAGGAAGCAGATCCTTGTGACAGAAAAAATTTATTTATCCAAAGACCAGAGAGTTTTAGAATACAAATATTAGGTTTATGCTTGTGTTGCTCTAGCAGATTGTTTCAGTGACCATCAGAAGAGCATAATAGGTTCAGGTGAATTCTGTACAGAATGATACTTTCAGCCTTTAATTTTTCTTCTGGAGAAAACTTAATAGAAGCATAAAGTTGTTTAGGTTAGAAAAGCCCTCCGAGATTGTGGAGTCCAGCTGTTCCCCCAGCACTGCCAAGGCCACCAAGTGCCACATCCACACGACTTCTGAATTCATCCAGGCATGGGGACCCCACCACTGCCCTGGGCATCTGTGCCAGGGCTGGACAATTCTTTCAGTAAAGAATTTTCCCAATATCCAAACCAAACCTCCCCTGGTGCTACTTGAGGCTGTTTCCTCTTGTGCTGTCACTTGTTCCTGGGAAAAGAGACTGACCCCTCCCTGACTCCAGCCTCATTTCAGGTAGTTATAGGGAGGTTTGGGTTTGTATTAGAAGCATGCAACATTTCAACAGAAAACTTCACATTATATATTTTATATATATAATTTTATATAATATTTTATATATTAAATAGTGAATTTACTTTTATAGAATTTTATAGTGAATTTACTTTTGACAGTTGCAAGGTAGAACAAAACTACACTTGGTTACAATTAATTGACTGTGTGAAATGAAACAAGCCACAACAACCATGAAGCTATTGCTGACAACTAGAATCCAGGTCCTTAGAAATACATAGGTATCCAATTCTAGTTGACCTACAGATTTATGCCAAATATTAAGAGTTAACTTTAGCTATCACTTCACTGGCGTAGTTTCATATAGCAGTGTTGTAGTATCTTCATTTGGACCAATTCATTAACAATTACCACTATCATAAAAATATATTGACATGTACAAAAGAAATTATATGAAAATGTTTAGATCCTATAATGAAACTATATTTGAGACTATCTATAACTATCTATATCTATATATATGTATATGAGTTTAGGTTGGAAAAGACTGCTAAGATTATGGAGCCCAAGCTCTCCCAAGCTGCCATATATATAACAGCATACATAGCAACTGCTTACTACAGTTACTGTTTGTTGCAAAACCACTTCTATGTTCCATTCTTACTTTTGGCTTAACTAAAATGGGCTCTAAATTTTGAAAGTCCTATTCCACTGGTTTTTGAAAGATGACCGAGGACATAGAATAAGTCCTGGTAGATACTTCTGGCTAAAAGGCATGCACAAATACAGCTGGATTTGCACACACTATGGTAATACTTAATATTTGGTGAATGAAGCCTCTCTATTGTATATTTTGGTTGCACTTGTAGCTCTTTCATTTTCTAGATAGCATTATCACATACTTGTTCCGTGCCCAGGTGGGTTGTAAGGAAGATACAGCTGCTAGCATGTAATTGCTGTAGAAAAAAAGCGTATGAAAACTTGGAATAATGTTTTTTATGTTTTTATGCATTTTTTTATTACTTTTTAATCCTAGTTGGTGAATTTGGCTTTAGAATGCAGTTGGTCAGATTCCTTAGTGGAATTGCAGACACTGACACGACTTACATATTTTGCATATGTATCACAAGACTATGAAACAGTGATGACTTGTTCTAAAAGGATCTTGGAATCAGATGAGGATTCTGTCCACAGTAGAAATATTAAGAAATATTATGGCATGTAAGTACATAGAGTTTTACATGATATGGTAATGTACTTGAACTAAGTTTTAAAAAAAAAGGGTAAATGTGTCTGGTCACATAATCAAAAATAGAAGAATCTTTTTTTCCAAAGAAATTGTGCAGTTAGAGATGAAAATGAAATTCAAAGGCAGTGGGAAATCCAAATTGTGGCTCTGGGCCCTGTTCTGAAAGACAGATGAAGCTTGCTATCCAAGTAAGTCAGAAGCTTGTACACCTCTGTGTTTGGGTGTCTTCCCGGGAGCACTGCTGCTGTGGAATGATCTCTGACAATCATAGTATTTTGACACTTATATAATCTCTAGGCAGAAAATAGCTGATTCTACTTTTGCTGATGCAAATTGCTTTCAGTGCTCACCTGGCTCTAATACACTGAAGGGTTATATTGTTCATGGACAAAGGTGGAGCTGGGGGTGATGACAGATACGAGAAGCTCCTGTATTCCAAGCTCTGCTGTCAGCTATGTCAGTCTGACAGTGATGTCAGTCTGACATCACTATGTTGCCACCTATGCATATGGGTGCAATACGAATGTAAGTAATTCCTATAAAAGCCCAGTCTCGTACTTAACTGATATATATAAATGGATCTACTGGAAGAGTCCTTTATTGTAAAAAGGTGGTATCTTTTAAGCCCTCTATTTTTTAAAAAAAAATTCCTCCAAAAGCAGAGTTTAATTTTATCCAAAGAAAATAGACTCAACTCCATTTAACAGCAGTTTTTTAGAACGTAGGAAGTTTGAAATAAACATGTGAAAGATTTCAGATGCAATATAGTGTTCATTTTTTTTCCTCTACAAAATAATTGAACTTAAATAAACAGTGTTCTGTTCCTTGAAACTTGTATTTGTTTTCTACATGGGTTTACAAACATGTAAAACTAAGTAAGTTATCTTAATATTAATTAGATACTTTCAGAACTTCACAGAAATTCAGAAACGACATGCTGCACATCTAGCAATGCACAAACTAGAGAAAGTGTGTGATTGTGCAGTGATGGGGTGTTTTTGGCAGGGGAAGGAGGGCAGTCCTGGCTGTCAGGACACTCAAGGGGTGTTTTTGGCAGGGGAAGGAGGGCAGTCCTGGCTGTCAGGACACTCAAGGGGTGTTTTTGGCAGGGGAAGGAGGGCAGTCCTGGCTGTCAGGACACTCAAGGGGTGTTTTTGGCAGGGGAAGGAGGGCAGTCCTGGCTCCCTTTCCGAGGCGGAGCCCGCGGGGCTCGGGAGCGCAGCGCCGGCGGGGCTGTGGCAGCGGCGCCCTCTGGTGGCCGCCGGCCGTGGCTGCAGGCGGGGCAGGACGGGCCGGTGGCAGAGGCGCTGAAAACTCCTGCAAGCTGCAGCTATTATTTTCTTAATAAGTTGCTATTAACTAATGGTGTTAACCGATAATATAAATTTATTCGTGTATTAATTTTAACTGATTAACTCTGGAACTGAAATCTACATTGTTTTCTTCTACATGTAGTGGAGTAGGATTCATATCGATTTCTCCAAAGCCCGGGGCATACTTTATCAGACAAATCCCAAAAGAAAGTATCAAAAATTGTCTGGTTTTCCTGATTTCTGTTTTTAATTTCTTGGTGTATAAGTTCGATTTTGGCCTAATATTCTTTTTGATGTACAATAGTGAAAAATAGGGAGAAAATTAGAAATCTATGTTGTTTCCTTGCTAAAGATAGGTAATAGTTTTTTAAAATCTGATTTCACAGCTATTTTCATTAGAGGCGTGAAAAAAGATATTTTAGTCTACCTTTTCACAAAATATTCACTTTTTGAATAATTTTCTAATTTTAAAAGAAAACTCAATGGAAGGATTTGTAATTTCCAAAGCAAGGGACATGTACACAGTAGCACCTTGAATACATCATTAATAGGAGTTGATATGATCTTAGCCAGTAAGACTTAGTACTTTTTGAAGTATTTGCCTTTATGCAGGCTTGGTAACAGTGTGAGACAGGAAATGTTAAGCACTACAGCCTGTATACAAGGGAAGAGCATAATGGAAAATTTGTCTGGAAGAAAACATCTGCGTGTAGCAGCATCAAAAACCTTTGTTCAGAGTGCCAGGTATGTTTTATGTTGAGACAAAGCTAATATAAAACAGATCTAAAATTTAATTACAGTTTTGGGGATAATACTTTCTCCCAAGACTGATGAAAGTCAACATAGTTGTGAGTTGAAATGTTTAACAAAGGATTTGATAGATTTTTTTGTGCTTTAGTAAATTTATCAACTGCTTTCCACATAGCTGACGTTGTAGTGTCATAGAATCATCCCATCCTCAGAAGGGATCTATTTCAGACTCCTGCTCAAAGCAGAGCCAGCCCAGGGCTTTATCCGGTCTGGCTGTGTAAACCTCAAGGAATTGAGACACACAGCCTCTGTGAGTAACCTGCTCCACTGTGGGCTGTACTCATGGGGGACATTCCTCAACCTTTCTCATTTTAATTTATGCCTGTTCTTGCTTGTCCTGCCATTCACTGGGAAGAGCCTGACTGTTGCTTCTCAATGACTTCGTTAGGTTATTGAGAAACTTCTCCTTGTTAGGTCTCCCAAAGCCACCTCTCCAATTAGCCCTCTTCTCAAGGCAAGGACAGCCCAGTCCCTGGATGATCTCAGTGGCCCTTCACTGAGCTCCTTGTGGTTTCTCTGTGTCTGGCATGTATTGGGTGGCCTAGAACTGGATGCAGCAGTATAAATGTGATCTAAAGAGTGCTGTCTAAAGGATGATCAGACTGACAGTTTCAAAAAACTGCTTTTTTTAAAACAGTAGTTTACAGTTTTTAAAACTGTTCAATTGGTGATTACATTATACCAATCTAAAATTTTTCACTAAAATGCCAAGCTGCTTATCACGCAGATGAATACTGTGTTGTGTCACAATCTGGAGGACAATTAACTTTTATTAATTCAAAGTATCATTTGCATGAAATATGCTCAAAGCAATTTGAATGCAGCTAGAGGCATTTGGGGCATATTCTTGTGTTACAGTGGTACTGTACTAAGCAAAATCCACAGTATGGTAATAATGATTGTGTTTTATTTTTTTAATGTTTTTTAGAATGAGAAATTAACATAATAGGAAGCCAAAAGAAGTATATTATTCCAATGAGAACATCTTGAGGAAGTTTCTGTTATTTTTTTAATGAATTCTCTTGAGCTAAGATTATGCAGAAATACAGTAAAGTCATTAATATGCTACTTATTTATTCCTAGTTCTGCTGAGTGTGTGAATTTGTTTGGTATATAAAAATGGAAAATGGCTTTTTTATGGCGCTCCTATGCTAAGTCCTCAGATCAGCTAAACGCAAATGTTGCTAGAAGTACAATTCTTTAGTATAGCTGAAGTGTGGTTGGTTTTCCATATTAAGTTCTACTTCTCTTTCTTCAGGTATGCAGGTGAAGCTGGAAATTATTCCCTTGTAATGTTTGCAGCTAGGCACTTTTGGAATGCATGCTTACCTTTGCTAGGCTCACCACATGACAGAGAACAGTTTAAAGAACCTACTGAAATAGTTCTTAAGAATATAGTTAAAGCAGAATCTAAAAACAAACAGGTAAGAGTTTCTAATAGGTATTGCTTGTTTTTAGTGATTGGTGCTGATGGTAAAGAAACTTCAAGATACCTTTCCTAAGAGGCAAAAGTGACTTATTTGTCATAAACACATTTCTGGTTTCTTACCGGCAGTCACATACTCTTATATTCCTTTTGGTGCTTCTTTTGGTTTTGAGCAATTGTCAGACTTATAACAGTTTTCTTCAAAATGATTTCCTGTCTGATTTTCACTGTAGTGTTTCCCTTCATGAAGCTTACGAAAAAGAATTTTTAGCAAATCCAGAAAAAAAGACACTTCTGGCAGTTATGATAATAGATTGGAAAATAGGACAACAGATCCTAAAACACTAACTCAAAAAAAAATGTTATTAAGTTAAGGTTTCTCCCACCTGCAGACTCAAATTTCTTCTACCTGCAGAAGGAAAGTTTTACTTTGCCTATCTTCAGGTTTTTAACAAACTGTTTAGGACTTTGGCAGTAGGAGGGATTTAAAATTTAGACTCTGCTGGGAGTTTGTGATAAAATTAAATACTTGTGGATTATAAGCAGCATGTGTAATCCAAAGAAGTCATCCCCTTGAAGCAGTGTCCAGGTGATATGTGTCATATAAGACATCTCACCAGGTGGAATGTCTTCTGCACACTGAAACTTCCATGCACAGTTACAACTTTTCTTACTTCAAAACTCCATGGAACTTATCCATTTCTCTTTCTAGATTTGATTTACATGTCAATGAAGCTGCTGTGGGTTTTTCTGTACATTCCATGGGAACAATTTCAATGAGCACTTGAGGGGATTGTTGATGACTCTTGCATCCAAGCTTATTGGTACAAATACGAGTCTGCATCTCAGATCATCAAATGGGATAGTAAAGAATAGAAATCTTTATTTTGATTTCTTATCAAGCCATGTGCAAATCACAAATAATCAGAGACTGCTCTGCTTATTTTGAGTGTATAGGAACTGATGAGTACAATATGTACTTGGAAGCACAGTGATAATTGTAAGTTTATTGGAACATTGACAGTGTTTAGGTACATAACAGTAATTGCCCATGGACACAGTCATGAAGTTTGTTATTAGTAGAGATATATTTAAAACCAATAAAAAGGAACACTTCATGTTGTGTATATAGTTAACTCTCCACCACAGCATAATTTCAGAGTGAATCCTTAATAACTGGTATTAAAAAGCAATTATATGTAGATAATGCAAATTTAAAGTTATAGGTAGCATAGGTATTTTTATGTCTGCAAATGTTAGTAATTCTTATGAATTAGGAGTAACTTCTGGTAGTAGTTAGGAAAAAAGTTCCCGTTAACAGAGTGCTCTATATTTGATTATTTCTGGAGTTACTGAGTTTTAAAAATAGATATGCACTGTAGTAACCATTGTAAGAGGCAGGAACTGGTATCCAGTGATCCTTGACCAGGATAATTAGTCAACTTTTAAATGCAGTTACATCTGGAGAAGGATCTACCAGCAGACGTCCAGATTTTCATCTACCACTACTCCCAAATCCTTCACCACAGGATTGGTCTCGTTTTGTCCCCCAGGCTGCACTGATACTGGGGTTTGCCCTGACACAGGTGGAGGACTTTGCTCTTGATCTTGTTGAACTTCTCAAGGTTGCCTTGGGCCCACTCGTTGAGCCTGTCAAGATCCCATTAGGTGACATTCCTTCCCTCTTGTCAACCACACCACTCACCTTGGTGTCATCAGCAGCATTGCTGGAGTGCACTCAATCCCCTTGACTATGTCAGCAATGAAAATACTGAAAAATATTGGTATTGGTATCTCTTGAGGTATATCCCTTGTTACTGGTTTCCACTGGATATTGAGCCATTTGGACACTGAGCCAGTGACTGTAACTCTTATCCATCTAACAGTCCATCCATCAAACTTCTGTCTGTTCAACTCAGTAGCACCAAGGTTATGGGCCACCATATCAAAGGCCTTACAGAAATGTGAATGAATGACATCCATAGTTCTTGTCCATTGGTACAGCCACTCCATTGTAGAAGGATGTAGAAGTAAATGCTGATTAGACCAAATCTGATAAATCTTTAATGATGCTAATGTGATACTTACCCAAAAGTTGTGGCTATAGCTTAGTTAACTTCTTAGCATCACCCTACATGCATTTAATGGTTAGTGTGTCATATACCTGTTTGATCTGTTTGAGAAACAAGGTGCTGAATTTCTCTTTGAAGATGCATTGAATTGTGCTGTGGAGGAGAGGGAAACAGCAAGTCTCTGACCTTCGGGTGAAAATTGTGATAGTCAAATTTTCACAGGTAAAGAGTGGAACCTGCTTTAGGCAGGGGCATAGGCAGAGAGCTCTGAAGGATCTCTGCCAACCTTGGCTACTCTGTGACTCCCTGAGAGTACTTCGTGGTTTCATGTTACTTCATGAGTGTAAGTGATTGAATGTTGCTAAGTCTGGTTATTTTTGTATTTGGTTTGTATTATAGGACTCACTCTGGAGAAATGCCTGGGGCTTTCATCTGGTCAGGAAGCAATTCTGATATATATACTTAGAGATACATGTTAACTGAAAGATAAAGATGTTTTGGTTTTTGTGGTTTTTTATTGGTTTTTTTTGTTTGTTTGTTTTGGTTTTTTTAAGGAAAAGAAAGATACATGTCCTTTGCATCAGTGGATTACAAAGGATTTTCAAAATATTGGGTTATCAGTTGGATGCTTTCTTCCAGGCATGTTCTTCCTTCTGTTGATCTGGTAATGAAAGAAACCCCATTATTTTGTAATCATTATCCTAGTTCTGCAATATATTAATACATCATTTGAATATACTTGAAAGGTGCTGAGGAAGATCTGACATTAAGAACCTCCTTATATGGTCTATTATTCCACATCTATGCTGGTAAAGCTGACTGGGAAACAGCACTAAAAATCCTGGATGAAGCTATTCAAGTTTTGCCTCAGACAAGACACAAACTGTAAGTAGGTTGGCTTTTTTAATTAAAATAAGCATTTTGGTTCCTGAGAAGTAATAAAACTCGTGAGTATTTTTTTATTTTGCATTGGGAAAGTATTATGATTACTTTTGAGCAGCTCGTCCTTACAACACAAAACACTCTTGTGTCTTTTCTGTGAAAAAGACACACATAGGGAGTTCTTCCTATCATTAATCTGCTAACAATAATTGTAAAATTAATTTTTAAAAAACTTGTGTACAAGTAGTATCTTACTTCCCAAGCAAATAGATGCATGAAATATGGCTATATAGCAGAAGCTTTAGTTTTCCTAACTGCAAATCCATCTTCATTAAGTGGAAACTCTCTAGGGTACTGTTTACATAATCTTATCTGAGTTGGTTTCGTGCCCTTATATGCCAGTTTATAAGCTTTGCATCTTTGTACTATAGTGATATGAACTAGTATATGTGTTTTACTGAGAAAGTTACTTTGCAGGTACAGATGCAAGTAATTTGTAATTTGTTTGGTCTTTTTTCTAGCCTGATTTTCAAACTTATGGCTACAGTGAGGGCAGGATCAGGATGCAATTTCATGATGGCTATTCAGAAACTCAGTCATGAAAGTGAAGATTATTTGTCACATATGTGGCAACACTTGGTAACAGTCTCCAGAAGTATTGTTGGACAGTTAAGCTGTTTTCAAAATGCAATCATTGCTTTACAGGTTTGTCAGTTCTTACTGTTTGTTGATAGAATGATTCTCAAGTGATTCATAGGACTGCAAGTTCCTGAATGGGTAGGGAGGCCATATACTTTTACCTTTTATAACTTTGAGATTACTCTTCAGCAGGAATACTCTCTATGGTTGAATCTTTATATCCAGCAAAATTTTAGTCGAGTCCTGCCAAACAAAAATGTCAAAGAGTAGCAAGTGTTTTTAATAAAATGAAGATTTAACTGGTGGTGGAATTTTCTGTTACGTTCTGTTCAACAAAATTCTGATTGTGTGATGCAAATAAAACTGCTTGATGTGTAATTATTATTTTTTGCTTCTGTTAAGACTACATGAAACTTTAGAACATCATTCTGATGGTTTACATAAACAAATGCAAATTAGCTCCTCCTTTATTACTGTTACAGAAACAAGAAGATGAATGGCAGAGAGTTGATTACCTGATGGAATTTGCTGAATGCTTATATTGTAATCAGTTTCCCCTCAATGATGCTATTAAACCTCTGGAATGGGCAGTAGATCTCCTACTTCGTATGAAATTCCCTATGCAATCCTCACAAGAGGAAGGTATGTAATGGATGTTTCTCCTTCAGAGGAATTTCTCAGGAGGAAACACAAGGGAAATTTTAAATTTACAGCTTAGTTGTCAGAAAGAATGGCACAAGCTTGCCTGTGTTTTCTCGTGCGTTTACTGTAATTTATTCAATACAGCTCAGTTTATCTGTGAATTCTGTTTTATGCTGTGCAAACTTACCCACAGTCTTTTGGTGCAGTAAGATACTGCTCCACTCTGACATAAGAATTCTTGATTTGTGAGATGCTGCCAGAAAGAAGTTCTGGACAGTTTGTTTCAAGTGAATTCTCATGGAGGGACAGATGAAACCAAGAAAATAATTTCTGTGCCAAGATTTGGGTACCTAAGTCCATTACCCTTTCCTTGGCTTTATCTTAGCATTAATTTTTCAAAAATGGCTTTCAAAGGGATGTATGCCTTCAACTACCTCTGTAACTGTAAAAATTCTTTGCTCCTTTTGCACAAATACCACTTGTCCTGGTATGACCTCAGTGATCTGTTCTGATAGGATACCCAGTATCCATTTGGGAAAAAAAGTATCTGATTTCTGGAACCATACTGTCCTGTGTGGCATTAATGGACATCTGCTCTGGTCTCTGTTCTTTTTTGTGTGGATAGATTACATGGATCAGACAAGTACTTCTTGTGTTTTCATTAAGAAAGATAGACATGCAGTGTCTCTACTATCACACAGTTGATTAGTAGCAATATTCTGTTCATACTCATCTATTCATGGTTTTGTTGGGTTTTTTTACAGTCCTATGGCATTTAAGTTTTGTATTGGTTCTGTAACGATCCTCCACCCAGTTTCACGTGTTTGCTTTTGAGTACTATCCTTACACCACTTAAATTTCAAGAAAATTTTTGCAAAGCTCTTAATGGAAACCCAAATAATATAATATGGGATATTAGATTCAGATATAAAACTTCCAAGGTTGGAAGGAATGTCAGAAGATCATCGGGTCCAGCCTTTTGTGGATGTTGTTTCTCTATCAGGTTTACATAATTTATTATACAGAGCTGTTACATTGTTGATTAAAAACATGGTGCAAGTAGCATTGCATCATTTGAACATCTTTAGTAGACAGATTTCCATTTTTCTTTTTTCCCCCTTAACATTTCATTTTCAGAAATTTTAACTTTTAAGTACATTTTTACAGGAAACAATGCTATACCAAAATTGTTGCCTACAGAAGATGCAAAGATGGACAATGGAGCAAGTGGTGCCATGGCTGAAATTAATTTGGAAGATTTGAGTAATATTAAACAACTGGAAGCTTTGTTTAGAGCACAGACATTAATGGCTTTATTTTCTGGTCACAGTTCTTCTTTTCATCAGCAGCACTGTTTGATGGCATATGCCTGTATTGTCCGTATCTGGCAGGTGAGATCGTATGAGATTATCTGTTGTGTTGTGTTACTATTATGTGGCCAGTATATTTTACATTTCCTTCTGTAATTATGGTAGCAGCTATTCATTTTGTGTTTAACTTTGTCATTATGGTTTCCTGTTTTATGGTGCAGTTAGTGTATTTTCTCAGATTTAAGAATTAAACAAGAAGATTGTTTCTCTCAGGAAAATGGAGAAGAGACACTAAGGATAAGAGCAGTGGGCCATTGTTTCTCTGGAGTCCATTCATATGTTTTGTGCAATAGGTTCTCAAATTTTCTATTTCTAATTTGTTAAGGAATCTCAGTAGTGGCAGAACACATACTGAAGACATTTCTGGCAGTTCTGAAGTATGGTGATTTCAGGTGGACCTTCTGAAATTGAATCAAAAGGGCTGTCATGTGACTGAAAGGAACTGGGGAGGCTGGCAGTGTTCACTGATTGATTTCTCTAATTACTTTTTCATAAGGCATTTCAAATCAATCAAATCAAATTTCTCATAGATATGCCCAACTGAAATGGCTATTCAGAATCACAGCAATGATCATAGGAAAACAATCATATGTTAAGTAAAGTAAATATTTGAAGGGACTAAATATGTACTTGATAATAGTAGTTCAGCAAACATTACAGGAACAGTCTCACTTGGGACCTATCGACTAGATTGGTAAGCTATAGCGTGTGTATTATTTTATTCCAATTAGAAGTAAAAGCCTGCAATTATGAGCAAGAATTCATTGTGAAATCAGTTTAACATGTGATGTGAGACAGGAATTAGCAAAATTAAAATTGAATATTGATATTTTCAGATTTACACAAGCATAACTTTTAATATCCAACACTTTACTATGTGTCTTACTAGGGAGAAAACTACCTGAAGAGAGTACTACTGTTTGAATAAGCTATTTAAACAAAAAATTAAAGGGTTGATGCTACTGTCAGTGCCACTTGTAGGATAATGATAGTAATTCTAAGCATCATACTTACAGCTGAACAGTATTGTGAGAAAAGGAATTACCATGTGGCATTAAAGGAGTTAAAATACTATAGGACATTTTGTTTGGCTGACAGAGTAAAGCAGCCTTGACTGCAGACATTCACTTACTTCAAAGCAGGCTCTTTAGTGTTAAGACTCCATAAATAACTCAGTAGAAGATCTTAAAACATTCTCTGAAAAAATCTGCTGCCTCTGACTTTTTACAATATGTGTTACCTTTAATTTGAAATTTAAATTTGTTGGGAGTATCCAGCATTATTTTTTGATTCATATTTTGTATTCTACTCTTGATTCCTCCAGCAAAACATATTAGTCTTCTCAAATTAATGTGGCTTTTGTTTTTGTTTTTTTGTTGTTGTTGCTTGGTTGGTTTTTGTCTGTTTGTTTTGGCCTTGTTTGTTGTTGTTTGGGTTGTTTTTTTAATTTTAGGTAAGATCAGAATCTGTACTTTTGCTTGTACAGAGATTTTACATAATATTCAGTAGTAGCACTGTAAAAGACTAACCCAGAGAAAGGACAGAGTGACTCTGCTGTCTTGCAGATTACTTCCCAAGAAAATTAATCCCTTGTAGAAAATGAAGCTAGTTAGACTTGTGGTTTGCAACCATATAAGTAAAAAAAAAGCTAGCAGTAGTATTTATCACAGGGATGATCTTGTCTTTTGACAGTTCTGCTGTCTTAATTGCATTGCCATGATCGTCCTAAATGCTTGTACAAAAAATGCAAGCATCCGGAATTCTCTGAAATGGTTACTTTTCTGAAGAAAACTATTATGTAAGCAGAATATGGTATGTGAGAATTGTTAACAGCTGTAGATAGTGACTTGCAGTGGATAATAATTATTTCTTGCTGAGATTATTGTTATTATTATTAATATTGGAAATTGAAAATAATTAACTGTAATTATTTGATTGTCTAGGTGTCGTTGTCAGCATCAGGGATTATTACAAAAGCATTCTCCCAGACTTCACAACCTACCAGTCCTCAGAAAGTGCTGTCAAAAACTGCTAAAAAAGACAAGGACAAAAAGAAAGAGAAACAAGTAAGACCCACTTTTCTGTGGAATTAAAAAACAGCCCTCTCTAAGAGATGTTTCCCCGGGCTCATTTGGTAAATAGTTCAGATGCTTTTCTGTACTGACTCTCATAACCTGGGAAGAATTTCTCTTTGAATCTGTGGATCATACCTTCACTCTTGACCACACTGTCTTGACAGATGATGGATTTACAAATACTTTTTCTTTTGTTTGTTGCCTTGGTCGAGGTACTGCTGTTCTGTAAATCCCTCGGTCTGGAGATCCAAAATAACCCCAGATCTTACAAAACTTCAAAGGATATTAAGCAAATGTGTCCATTTTTTCAGCTGAATATTTAATACCAATAGGATTGTTGATTTGATCTCATAAGTGTTCTTGTTTTTATTACAGGTTGAAGTTTCTGTTGCAAAGGAGAAGCCTAAAGGGAAAGAATCAATTGATACCTTACCAGCAAATGTGGAAGAATGGGCCCAGTATGACTGTCCCAATGAAATCAGAGATACTTTTAAACAGAAAACAAATTGTTATGGTATTAACTGGGATAATTTCCCAAAACCTGTGAGTGCACTCCTCAAAATTCTACAGCATTTACTATTTAGGAGAAAATCAGTACCAGAAAATGACTGTATTTTAGTTTTTCTGTCTGTGTATTTTCAGACAGATGTCCCAAATACTTTTGTATTGTAGTATTAATTAATACTTGAAGAGGTGTTAGCCTGTCCTCTGCATGCTGAAATTAAGCTAGAGTAGACATTTACCAGCTTTCTATGTACCTTGCTGCTCTTTCTGATAGAAAGTTTTTTTTGTGTCTTTTTTGAGGTTTATTTTGGAACTGAAGATGTAATCATTAATTTAAAATTTATTTTCTACAAAACTATGTTTATACTGACTGAATTAAAAAAAATTTCTTTTCAGACTTGCACTTTGTATTTTATGGACCTTTTATCTAAGGAACTACAGAAAATTTTTTGCCCCCACTTGACTCTTCCAATCTTTCAGCTAGCTGAAGTTATTGCTAGTGAAGTTCTGGAATGTAGAAGTCTGTCTGATCTCTATCACCTTCGGTTTGTATCCTGTATTTCTCTTAAATAAAAGAGAAACTGAGTAAAGTGTACATCCATTAATATTTTAATGGATATTAAGAATTTTGTGGCTCACTGTTTTTTTTTGTATTGGCTTTTTATTTATTTTCCTTTCTTTTTTATATACATTTTAATAGAATTTTTTTGAAAAGGTTTGTGGAATTAAAGGCAGTAGGTTTTTTTGTTACTAAACATGGTCTCTCTCATGGAAAACATGAGATTATGAAGCCAGGCCACTTTCATGTAAAAAATTTTTGAAATGTTTTATTGTCATTTAACTGAAAAAAGTAAAGTTAAAAAAAGTTTCTATGAAAGTATCTATTAAGTATTCAAAAGGCAGATTACCTACTTGCATCAAAAATATGTTCTCCACCTTAAGGGCACAAAGAAGTTGCCCTGGTAAGTGCATTTTTAGAGAGATTTGTCTTTGTTACCAAAATTATGTTATTTTTTATGGATGATAACCCCAAAAGTTTTGATTGAAAAGTGTTTAATATGCATGCAATTGAAAATTCTTGCTCTTTTAGTTAAAACATTTTATCATGCTTTTTTGGTAGGTATTAAATAATGTTTGCTTAATAAGTAGCAGTCATAAACAATAAATGTTTGCTTATTTTCTGGTAGTTCATGAAACACCACATAACAAATCCTGAAAATGCCCGAAATTGGTCCCACTGATCAGAATGGATATTCATGTGTAAAAATATATCTGTTTGTCTGCCAACTGATTACTGAGTTTCTTTCTTACCATTCTAAAAGGGATTTTCTGGTAGGAAATTATTTACAGCCAAGATTTGCCAGACAATTTTTCTTTTCTTGTTTCCTCAAGGCTTGTGTTTATTTCATGGTATTTTATATGTATCTGTGACCTGATGTCTACATATGATTAGATAGATGTGTATATTACTCTTTATTTTTAGAAAAGTAGGTTAGCACATACACATTGAGGGGCAGGAGGGTGGTGGTTGCATGCTACAGTGAGAACATATAAATATTTTCACACTTTTAGTATATAATTTTTGCCATTAAATTGGAGAGATACAGGTTTGGTACAGGACAAGACTGGGGTACTGGTGGATGTCCCATCCCTGGAAGTGTTCAAGGTCAGATTGGATGGAGTTTGGAGTAACCTGGTCTTGTGAAAGATGCCCTTGCCCATACCTTTAGATATCTCTAGAAATTCTTTCTAGCCCAAACCATTCTTTGATTCTGTGACCTCTATCAATGGGTAATTTCCCCTGTTTTTATATACAATCTTTGTTATTGCCAGTATTAATCAAATACAAGAAGGTAGGATTGACAAATGTAGAATATGTGCTATGTATTTATAATGTGCTTATATGAAGCAACATATGAAGGATTCAGATTGTTTCTTAAACATTTCTTCTTTTTATTTGTAGAATTGCCCTGATATGCTCAGATTTAAAACTGAGTCAGGCATCTCTGTATCATGAGAAAGCTGCTGGAGAAGTGTACATCAGTGAATTAGAGCAAGCAATGTATGAATTTTCACTGCTGAGGCGGTATTTATTTGGGACTGTTTTCCCTACCGTTAATAAATGTTGTTGGGCAAAAATAGTAAAAAGCTCGATCTCAGAACACAGCTTTGGTATATTAGCTGTGTCCTAAAATTCTCTGCATGTTTGGTTAGTGTCTGTCTACAAGATAGTGTATGGTAAAGATTCCTAACACACTAATACTTTGTTATGAAATGCCATTTAAAATATACTTGAGCTTACTTTTTCTTTCTTGTAATTTAGGTGTAGGCAAGAGATTGCACTGAAAAAAGAAAAAACTGTATATGTGAAGACAGAAGAAAGAAAAATACCTTTTGAAAATGCTCATCTTCATAGTAGTAGGAATGAGACTATCCTTACGTCAAGTGAAAAGGTTTTTATTACTGCTTCAGTTTCTGTACTAAATTACTCTTCACTTTTTTTAAATACACTTGCTAGTTTGCTTTTAGATAATATTTGAGAAATACATGAACACAAAAATTATCATAAATGCATGCTACCTAAATTCTGCTAGCAATCATCTGAAGCTGAGCTGGGTTTGCCTGGCATATTATTTATATTCAGGAAGAACAAGATTGGAGTCTTTATTCATGCAAAGTAAAACTACTTTCCTACAAATGGACTTGGAGACTAACACAAACAAATTAAAAAGACTGAGAAGCAAAAAAGATACTGTATTCACTCTTGGTCTTTTTTCTCTTCTTTCTCCATTACATTTGCTTGTAATGTTTTGCTTCCTCTTATATATTGTTTAAAGGGCATGAGAATATTTCAGTTCTGTCTTTACTGTCTCTTCTTTAGGAAGATAATTGCCTTTGACGCTCGCCTCCACCTTGCTCTTTATGGCAATGCTGTCTGGATTGTCATCACACCATTTTTCTCTTTGTATATTTTTTACATATTTTTGCATATAATACCTTGTTTTTCTAATTACTAATCCCTCTAAAGTTACCTCTTTTAGCTCTTGTAAATAGTATGCCTTTTTGAGTTTTACTTATTACCAAAAATCAACTTTATGACAGCAGCAGAGCAGCATTTCTGAAGTAGATAATCTGTCATACAGTTAGTATAAATTGTATATACTTACTAGTTCAATGCCTTTTGAGGATTATAAAGTCCAAATCTCATAAACTTCTTGTTGTTCTTGTCATATAATGTTAAATTTTGAAGTTAGAAAATACAGCTGAGGTGTGTGGGGATATCATAGTTAATAACAACTTGTCTAGTTTGTTTTGAAATTTATGAAGGTGTAATACTTCTTTAATTTTTTCAGGGTTTTGAAGTAAATGCAGTAACAGGAAAAGGACTGAATGCACTTTCTTTCCCCCACTTGTGGATTGAAAAAGCTGAAGTATTAATTCAGCTAGGCTTGTATCAACCAGCAAGGCTTCTGCTTTCAGAGGCCCATGCTGCAACTCAGGTACAATACAAATTAAATAGAAAAAGAAACACTAATAACGTGTGTAGAGAAAATGTTCATTTTGATGCAGTTATTCTTCAGAATAATAATAATAATCAAACTAAGCTGAGCCTTCTCCCACCACCCCAAACCAATTTCTTATTAAGTTTCAACATATATAATATGTACATTTAAATATATGGCTTTTCAGTCCAACTTTATGGGAGCTGTCTGAAGGTTAAATAAATTTCTGAAGTGTCAACATCTCTGTCTGCTTTGCAGTGGCCTTGGAAGATATAGGTATATTTCAACCTTGTTTGTTTAAATGGGTGGGAAACGTTCAAAGTTTGTTCAGAAAAGAAAGGGAGAATTATTATCCTCTCAATAATTCAATCGTTTGAAAGTTTGGTTATTTCATTTTGAGCTTCATTATAGATTTCCTGCAATGTTTTGATAAAACTGAAATTATGTCCTAGAATTCCAGCAGATTGGAAATAAGTGTCCATATGTTCCACCAAACAGATCAGCATCATCTAATTATTATGAAGGATTATACATTATAGATATTTTCCCTATATCTAACATTTTTCACTATAGCACTGTGCTTCATTATAAAAGTTATCAGAATATAATTATTGCAGTAAAACCTTTAAAAAATGTAATTGATATCTTGTTATTTTGTAATATTTTTTTTCATGTAAGGAAAACTGCCTATGTAAATTTAGTATAATCAAGAATACTTTGAATAATAATACATGAGTGATATTCATGAATAATACATGCTCCTTTATAAAGCTTTAATTAAGCATTGTATATTAAGGAAAGTTCAAAATACATTAGGGAGGACAGTAATTTTAATTATGTAATTCGTCAATAGTATCCATATGTCAGGATGCTAGTATACAGATATTATACAGTATTTGTCCCTTACACAGGACTAGTTATATAGCTTATAACTAGTGTAAAGCAGCATTGTGAGTTCACAAAAAAAATCTTTCATCACCACATTTCTTCATCAGAGGCTGATGAACACTAACAGCCCTATACATACTAAATAACAGCAGAAAAGTAGCTTATTCAGCTGGTGAGATAGAAGGTACAGGAACAGAAAGAAATATGAAATAGACATACTATAAGGAGTAACTAAGAAATCCAGCAGATACTTGGGGGAATAGCATTCACTTTTTATTTCTGTAAGGTTAATCTAAAATATGGATAGAAATAAATATGAATAGCAGTAGTGGATTTTTTGTATATAGATCACCTCTCTTTCTTTCTAGGAACTGAGGGCCCTATCTGATATGTCGAGGTGCTTGTACTTACTTGCTGTGTTGGCTAACCTGGAAAAAAACCACGGACAAGCTAAAGCACTCCTTGAGAAAGCACAGCTTCTGGGAGGAAACGAACAATTTTGGTATAACAGTACTCTTAGTCTAACAGAAGCAATTCTAGAGGAAGACGGGGAAGGAAAACAGAGCATGGTAAAGAAATTCTTGGGTTTGGAGGTTGTGGTTTGGGGTTTTTTTTCAGCAGTGGTTTCTCTCAGTGAAATATTACAGCCTTTACATTTCAATAAAAGCAAAATTAAGTGTTAAAATGCAGTTAATGTTGTTTTCTCTGAGCATTTATTACATTAATTACAGATTCCAAACAGATGCAGGCCACTAGGAATGAGATTCTACCCACAAAAATTTAGGATATTTTTATGATAAGCTGTATATTCTTCTATTGGAATAAAACCAGTTATGATCTAGTATGTATGACTAAATCCCAGAGATCTGATTCTCTTGGTTAGAATTCTTTTGTGTTCAGACAGTTCTGTTAACACTGGTCTGTTGATTTTCCATATTCAATAAAAATCACACCTTTCAGTATTATTTTCTATTATTTTTTTCCTTCACAAATACTTCAAATAGTTTTACAAGGATTGTTTCTAGATTCTGGAAGATACTTCTATAACACTTTCATTGTTTTGTTTTTTTTACTAAAACCCTATAACATCAAAATACCCATTTACTTTTAAACCCTTAACTTTCATGAGTTTCAGGATAAAGTCTTATTTCTGTGATGATCTAACCTGTTGCGATCTTACCTGTCTTGATCTAAACTGTGCAAGGCTGTGTCATGTAGAGGGATAATCTGGATTTTGACTAAGCTCATATTTAGTGTCGTTTGCTATGTACCTCCAAGATGAATCTGGCTCCATCTTCTCTCCTTGTATGTATATGCACCATTCAGGTAATCATAAAAGTATTTATGGTCATACCTCAGACTTCCTAGGCTTATTTACAGTTATCAGGAGCCAGCCATCTTGGGGATAATTAACATGTTCATGTACAAAATTTAAGCTTTCTAAATGAATGTTTGTTACTATCCATAGACATTTGAAATACAATTATGAAAATTCTGGTGTTAACTGTAGGCTTGTGAGATACTGGAACATACTGTAAATGTGCTTCGGTCTACTTTACTGAAGAGACCTGGCAGGCAATCAGAATTGGGTTTTATCATTGCATCCCTTGAAGCCAGGTAAGCTGTCTTTTCTCATAAATATGCCCAGCTTCTAATATGCAGCGACATTGTAAATATATGTGGTTTTTACAATGGTGTCTTATTTTAGTATGGCAAATTATGTGGATTCTAAAATATTTTTGTTCTCAGTCATTTATGTGGTGGATTGGTTTATTAATTTTTTTTCCAAATTTCTGTATTTCCTTCCCAAATGCTTGCATGAAGCCCTACTAGCTGTTATACTGGTAGATACCACAACCCATTGTGCATAGCTTGCAGTGTAGTTACCTAAAGGTGCAATGTATATTTATCTATGTTTGAACACTCCTGACTTCTGTTCTCACCGTGAGCCAAGAAGCCTGTTCATGGTGAGACTAAACAATGAGTTTGGTTCCCCCGAAATCCTAGCACAGAGACATTATAATGTGTTGGTAAAGGGAGAGAAGTATGCAACACTTACACTCCTGTCTCTTTCCATAAATGGGAAGCTTCTCAATTAGAAAAAGAAGACTATTATCAGTCTCTTTTCATCTGTATTTAGAAGACTGATTAGGCCTAGTAAGATGGAATAATTAGATACATGGAACAAGTGAGATATCTTCTCTAGTCTCAAAATATAATAGGATTTTTTCAGAATTACTATAATCTGTAAAACACACATTTATTATGCTTTTGGTAGAGTTCCTAGAATTTAAAGGAAAGCAGAGAGAAATATGTCTGCTCTCAAAAATAGCCTGTGTTTTCTGACTATCTTGTATTTCATTTTTATTTCTAGAAAAACACTTATTCAGATACATTTTGCCCAGGATCATATGACAGTTAATGCTAATTATGCTCAGTTGCCACACATTCTACAGGAATCCTACAATAAATTAGTTAAAGTTCAGAAGGACTTTTTTCATCAAGGGCATAAATACTACGGTGCTGAAATACTGCTGGAATGTGCAAATATTCACAGGTAGGACCATACCTCTATAGTTCTATTGAAAACTTCATTTAGGTTGAACTATTCCATGAAGTGTATTGTTTACTTTTTGTAGTCTAATTAAGATGGAAAAGCACAGATAACATTGTTAGGTTTTATATATTGGTGCTAGATGTCTGTTTGCATTCTTCATGTGTTCTTGTATTCAAAAATATATTGTAGAATCCAAAATTGTTTTCACTGAAGGCAGAGCTCTCTTTTGTTCTCTTTTGAGGTCAAAACAAAGTGTCAGGGTCTCTTAAGTCAGCTTTTTGACTTGCCATTTTGACTGCCATTGGTGAGGCAGCCACACCAATCATTCTCTAGTATTTACAGGCTTTTACAATTCTTACTGTTGAAATGTTTCTCTAAAAACTGCTGCAACAGTCGAAATGCAAAACGTGGAATCCAAGCAAAGAGCTTGGAATCCCAGCTTGTTGTGAAATATCCCTTAAAACAGCTGAGATCTGTTTTGTACCTGGTATATTGCCATTGTGTTCCTGCTCAATGCATAGTCTAGAATATCATCTGTCTTTCTTGGCGTCTTCTTGCATTGCAGCAGTACAGTTCTAAGAATAAGACCTTGGAAAATAGCTTGTGTACAAAGCTAAAATAAAAAATACATATACAAATTTGATATTTTTGTCTATAATTAATCTATTTAATCTATTAATTGATTTATTATTTTATTATATATGTTCAACAGTGTTGATGCCATAAAAATCAGCACTTTCTTATGTTAGTTCTTTTGAGTTTATGGTGTTGTTTTGGGTTTTTTTTTCAGGATGATTGCCAAGAAGGAAAGGAACAAAAAAGACAAACACAGTCACTATCTAGATGCTTATAACTTAGCTCAAAGAGCAGTATCCAAAACAGAGGAAGTATTTCATAGCATTTGTAGTTTATTTGCATTTAATGAGGTACTGACTTTTTTCCTCTTAATTGTGGAAAGGAAACCTAGTTAATTGTAATATTCACTCATTCTTGGATAATCTCATTTGGGGCTTCCAGGAATTATCTTGTAATTATAAACATTCTTTGTATATAGAAGGAAATATTGCATCCAAAATAATTTACACTTGAAAAAGGGATGAAAAGAGGATTTGTTTCACCTTTGTCAAGTTTATTTATTTCTGACATTTATCTAATAGCTACAAAAGAATAAAGTATAAACTTTGAGATATTTTTGATTCTCTAAATACCTTGAAAGTTTAAAATTCTTTAAAATGTGTTTCTTCTCAGGAGAAACAAAAAGTCTTCACAAAACATTATTACTAATAAAGAACACCTGTCTTCAAAATAGTGTATTTTGGGTAATGAAAGCCTGCATCCTACTTTGCTGCTGTGTATGTAGTATTATTAGATATTACATATTTGTACCAGGTATATAAAATGTGGAAAGCAAAAACCCAGCTGCTCTTATTTGATGAAGCTACTTTGATTGCCTTGTAATATATTTGACATTGAAGTATTATTTTAAATTACTTAAATATCTTCTTTGCAATATTTATGCTCTGTCAAGGTGGTAATGCTAAAATGTGTGTTTCTTTGGTTAGAAGAAGTACAACATTCTAATTTCTTATCAGGTAAATTTGCAAAAATACTTGAAATTAAAATTTTACTTTCTTTTGTGTTTCAGAGCAAAAATGTTAGTATCCCATTAATGAGACAACTAGCTCTTAGAAAAATAAATCTTACAGAAATTCTTTTGGATATTTTTCATCTTGTCATTAATGAGAAAAAGCATAAAAATGTGGGAGAAACATCATTTCATGAATTTGTGGAGGAATTAATCATTGAAGATGATGCAATAGAACAGGTAATACAAAAGATTTAGTCCTATGACTTGCACAAAGTATATCAAGGCTTTCCATAGCACAACTTCTCTCAATACTGAGGAAATGGGTTCCCAGACCAGTCAAGTAGTTTTGTAGCAATGGAGGTTGAATTGTGTGGTTTTAGTCTTGGGGATGGTTTACTGGCCACCCTCCCTTTATCCCATGTTTTCCTTGGCAGTGGTTGAATTTTGCTTATGGATATTACATTGAACTTTTTTTCTAAATCAGTTGTTAATGAGTTTGTGTATCTATTGAAGAAAGCTAATTTGTAATTGAAAGTATAATCATATTTAACTTATGTATTTGTAGGTGGATATACATGTTTTACATTTTTTAAAAATACATTCTTCTGTCTGTGTGGGAATATATGGCCAAATAAATATAAATGTGTATTTTACCAGGATTGGAAGTATATGGAACGCACCATGGCTCATATTACACTGGCTCAGTTAGCAAACATACAGAATCTTTGTAAAGGCTGCCCCAACATCAAATCCAAATGCCTGTATCTAACAGGAAAAACCCTTCATTTACTTGCCATTAATGTAGATCCTGTATATTCAGAGATTTACTGGAAGCCAAATGTTATGGTATGCATTCTTTTGTTCAGTTATATTTATTTTTCTGTGTAAAGTTTATCTGCTCTAATATTTTTTTCTGTATACATTTGTATAAAAGCTGCTCTTTATGTAGAGTAAGGCTTTATATACTGCATGCAAGCCATAATAAAAATAGATGGCAAAATGAATAACTTCAAAAAACATGCTTCTGCCTACAGGCTGTCTTCATTTAGCTAATTTTTGATTTGTTTGTGAGATATGCTAATTACATTATTTTCAAAAGAGAGATAGAAAAATTCCTTGAATGCCTTAAAGGGTGAGCGACGTACGGTCTCTGAATCCATGTGCTCAAGAAGTATTGATTTGTAGGTTAAAAACTTGGATTTGTAAGTTTTTTTTGTGTAATAGAAAGAACCCTACATAGAAAAAGGAGAGTTTTTGGGGGCATTTTAAATTCAATGATGAATTAAAAATTTTAGAAGAAGTGAGTGGAAGACAAATATGAGAAAGTCAAACTCTTAGAGGTTGTATGGGGGGGGTCTTTTTAGTTTATGTTGGTCATATTGCCTTCATAACATACTACGAAATTTTGATGGTTGATAGTATTACTAAATCTCTCACCATGAAGGGATCGAGGTAGTGATTTCATTTAATTCTGTTTTCACATAAACTTTCACAACAGAAATGAAGCCTGCCTTACTTAATGGAGTGATTAATTGTTCCTTTTCTTATTCTGTGATGGGTAGGAAGATGTTAAATCAGACATCAGAAAATCTTCACTTACTTCAGCTGAATGCAGTGAACAGAGCATGACAGAGAATGGTTTATCGACTAAAAAAAGTCATAATGATAAGTATAGGAGGAAAATACAGGAATTAAAGGTATATTACTTTATAAGCTTGCATTAGAATTTGAGTGCTTTCTTTTTATGGAATAACAGCTTATCCATAAGCTTAAAATTTAGCTTATCTGTTCTGTTTAAACTGATAATGGAAATGTTGCGACAAAAACTGGATCTTAAAAAAGATAAAAATCTACAAAATACCTTGCAGCAAACAGCTTTCCATCACTCTCTGCTGTGTAGCTCTGTCCTGCTCCTCGGTAGATTGTGTGGGAGCTCTTGAATGAGCTTCCCCCAGAAAGAAAGAATTTCTCTTTCAGTGGTTTCCCACTGATAGAGCTTGTAGCAACAACGACTAGATGAGCAGGCATTTTCTTTCTCCCTCACAGATATGATTTTTTGAGGGAGCATAATATTTTGCAGGCTGGGAACAAAGAAAGAAATTACTTCTATCACAAAACATTTGTGAAATTCAGTGAGCTGATCTCTTAATTACTGCAGTTGAAAGCCCACTAGGAATTGGGAACGTACAGTTTGTGTTGCTAGTAAAATCAATAAATACCTGAGTTAAGGGATTTGTAGGTTAATTTGGACTAAATATGGTTAACTCTCCACAGAAACAGTTTTATTGATCCTTGATTCTGAACTGCTCATATTGCCTGGAATTTAAAGTCCATTCTGCTGAGTACACACTTTATATTAAAAGAAATTTCTGTGATAAACCAAATATTTTTTAGTGTTGTATAACCAATGTTGGTGTCTTAAAAAAAAAATAATCAGTATTTGCATATTTTGATCATACATTAAGTGCTTTAAAATGCATTAAAATGACTCATTAAAAAGCAATATATATCTTCTCTAACATGCTGTAATTGGTGTATGTAACAAATACTTAATAATAGCCAATTTTAATATAAAGCTTTTTATTTTTATCATTTAGACACAACAAAGGATGGCTCAAAAGTATCTTTCTCAATCCAGTGAGGCTTTGTTACAGTCCATGGCTGTTGCATTCAGTCATAATGTTACCGATGTACTGGCTCATGCTAGTTTGGAAATGGCTGAATGCTTTCAACAGTTTGATCCAATTTCAACCAGCCAGTTTTTGTCACTTCATCAGGTAAGACAACTAACAGCTGTGCTGCTTTTCAGTGGGAGGATGTTTGAAGTTGCGTAAACTAAACTGTATTTGGATAGTCTGCAAATTGGTCATACAGAACACATACAGGGTTCTGTGTAAGAACCAGTGTGTAATATAGGTCATCAAATATGTATTTTCTGAGTTCAGAACATTTGATCAGTGGTTTTTTTTAACAATTCTGTTATCTGTTGTGTCTGACCTGACATTTTCATTGATTATGGCATACAAGGAATAAAGTTTAATAGGAATGAATTACTATATTTTAGTTTGCAAAGATAAGACATTGCCACAAAATACAGTCTCATCCTTCCCTAACAGATAATTTAAAAAATGTTTCTCTGGATTTGTTCAATCATTATTTTGAAGTGGATAATTCAGTTTACATTCAGTTTGTCAGATCGATACCTGCCCAGCACGGTCCCATTGATCACTTGAAGGTCTATGCATGTGAATATGTGCCTCCATCAAAGAGAATATGCAGAATGGCTGTAGGGCTTATATCCCCTGCTTCAGGAACAAATAACTCATAGTTCCTAGTTCAAAGGACTGGATTAGTGTGTTTGCTGAAAGAAAAGATGATGATAAATGAAAAGTCCTTGATGATAAATGTAGACTAAGAAATCAATTCCAGCTATTTGTATTTAAGGAATCTTCCTTAGTTGTTGTCAGACTGTTTACATTAACCTGTAAGAACAAACAGCAGTCCTTTGCTGGTTCATCTCACCTTTCATGGAAGAGAACTTCTCTTCAACATAGATATAAGTTATAAAAAACCTAGTGTATATATTTATTTGTTTTATTTTTGTGAAGGAAAATAAATAGATGTAAAAATTTTACAGACTTGTTCAGTGTCTATGATGATGAAGAGTATCCTTCTAACTGCAACATCCAACACCAGCAGCTCTCAGCTGGCAGCATTGCTGCATCTTCAGAATCAGTTAAAACAACACAGAAACACAAGTGATCTTCTAAAACGTGTGGAACAGCAACTGACTGCTAATTCGATGGTAACTTTCAGAGCTACTTACTAGGGGTTTATATATATGATAAATAAATGCACACAGAGAGATATATGTGTTTATACAGGACATGGGTTGGTGGTGCTGAGAGAGCAGTTGGACTCAATGGTCTCTGAGGGCTTTTCCAACTTGAACAATTCTGAGATTCTAAGAGCCACCCTTGCACCTTCCTCTGCTACCAAAATCTTGCCACATAAACCAAATACAATTTTATATAGTACTTGTTGGTGAAGTGTCTCTAGCAAAATTTTTTTCAAATATAAATATTACTATGAATTATTCTACTAATTTCCTTTGCTAATACTCTGCTAGTATTTGATAGCATTTTAACTTCAGAAATTGTGTAGTGGCCATAAAAGTCATGTTGCTATGAAGAGTGGACTAAGATACTAGTTGTAATTTGTTTTAAATAATATTTATATGTTCTTCTGCACTGCTCAAAAATTACATGATCATAGAATAGCTGAGGTTAGAAAAAATTTCTGAAGGTCATCTTGTAAACCCCTCTGCTCAAACAGGGGTCACCTAGAGCTTGTTGTCCATGATCATGTCCAGGTGGCTTCTGAATTATCTCTGAGAATGGAGGCTCCACAGCCTCCTTGGACAACTTGTTCCAGTGCCCGCTTCCCTCACAGGGAAGCAGAATTTCCTGTTGTTTGCACAGAGCCTACTGTCCTGGCACAACTGAGTGTCTGAATTCTTTCCCAGAATTACTATCAATTTTCTAATGAAAGCATTGAGAATGGGGTTTATAAAGTCTATAAAAATAATAGGATTTCTGAACTACTGTACAGGCATGGAGAAACCTCTGCATTCCTGTTGAACATTTTAATATAGTGGACGAATTGCCGGCCAGTTTCTGCATAGTTATTCTCCAGCATTCAGAAGACAGGTATAAAGTTTAATAATTTTGATTTTGTACTGTTTGTTACAATTATAATCTTTATTTACATGGTGGAATATTTTTATGGACTTGAATTTTAGGATAATGCACTAATTAATATATAGATAAAACTGCCTGCAGCTCAGTTGTATGTTTTCTGTTCTTTCAGTTTCCCTAATTATCTCTTAAATCTCCAGAGTCGCTTGAAAGGTTTCAGGCCATTCTTGATATCTGTCCTAAATTCTGTTAAGAGTTTCTGCTTTTATTGCTTATGCTCTTGGAAATGTTTGAAGGGGTCATATTTAACTTTATAAAGCCACCAATTATCTGATTATTGCAGCCTAATTAGCTGCAATAAACTAGCTCATAAATTGAGCTATAGCAGCTGACAATAAGGGCATTCACCAATTTTACAAGTTTTTAAAACTTGTAATGGAACAAATAGAAATCTACCTTATTGATTATACAGTAATAAAAGAATTTACCATACTACTCTGTTTGTTCCAGGAATTTGCAGGTTTTTGCACCCAAGGTGGGGGTAGTTACTGCATCATGACAGTATTGGTGAGCACATTAAATTAGAGGGCAATAATTACTCACCTAATAAATTTGAGTCATATAAACAAAGCTAGACAGCCAAATAATCTATTCAGCACTTTTCTTCTTTTCACAGATCACAGTTGTACAGTTCATTGATTAGGATGGCTGAAGTAAGTACTGCACAGCAGAAAGGAAAACTCACTAAGCGAAGGGGTAAGTACCTCTTACTTTTGAAGAAATAAAAATCATTGCACTGAAGTTATGAGAAGGCTCATATCTTTCACTGTTGCAGTTTGTAAAATTTTAAAATAATTTCAACTCTTCTTAATTAGCAAGGGACATAAATTCATAAATATATGTTTCATTATCAGATGTCATGTATCTAGTCACAATTTAGATAATTTTTGTTTATATTTGAAGGCCAAAGTTGTTATAAATAATAATAATAATAGTTTTTTCCATTGTACACATCTCTATATATTTTGTGTTTATATGTATATAATCTAGATTTAATTTTCAAAGAATACCACAACTAGAAACTGATGATGTTTGTACAATCATTTCTTCAAGTACAAATACATCTCAAGAAGACTCTTAAGAGGGTGTTATCCTTCTTTTAATAGTGCAAGCAAAAGTCTCTCGATTTCCTGTGAACCCTGATATGTTTCATATTTTGTTGGAAAAAATGCGACTTTACAAGCAGCAAAAGATGAAGAATCATCCTAAAAAACCTGTTATTCAGAACTCTCAAGAGTGTGTCTCCAAAACAGATGTGGTAATATATTTTATTACCTTATATTTAAAACCGGGTGGAAAATACGTACTAAAACTATGATAGACATTCTTTACACAGAATTTTTCAGTTCATTCCGAGTGCGTCATCCCTAGTCTTCACAGTTACTATATTCTTTGTACTCTGCTTCAAAATTTAATCTTATTGTGCTATTGTTGCTGTATTTGTCATTCAGGAGTTTTGAAATGTTCAGTAGTTTATCAGAATTGAAATGATGCAGTTGGGATCAGTTTACTTGAAAATGTGCCGTATTTCAGAGATTTGCATTTGCATTTGTACCCTGCCTTTCATATGACATAAAAGTCCCTGCTGTTCCATGGAAAAGAACAGGATCATAGATTGTAACCCTTTAATTAAAATAAGACTACCTTAGCCAGAGATTTATTACTGATTTCCAATACAGAAAAGTTTTCTGTTGGGACATACAATAACTTCTGCACTGTAGCTCTTTGTCAGGGTGCAGTTGATCCAAGACAGTCACAAAATTTTCCTTCAAGGACATGTTTTGGCGGAGTCTAGGTTTGTAGAACACTCTTAACTTCTAGATGATAAAAGTTTTCTGTAACTGTAACTGCAGGAATGTTCAGTTCTATAATAACATTATCACAGTCAGTGAGTGCAAGTTGTGCAACATAAAGGTACTGAAAAAAACCTACAGCTTTCACACTGGTTATCTCCTAGGTGACAGAAAATTTTCTACACATGAAATGTACAAATAGAAATCCTAGCATTTTACTTTTAATTTTGGCTTCATTAGATAAACTCAGGTTTTACAATTCCAAAGAAAATTCACTGTGAAATGTAGCATTAACAAAAGCTGGTATTGGCCTATTTTCATTATTAATATAAAGGTTAAAAATGCAGATCATCTTGAACTTCCTGTACAAGTTTTCATGGTTTTAATTACACTAATTTGACCATCTTGGTTTAAGACAATTATAAGAGATGGACACTCTAAAATGAGTTAACCTCCCCTTGTAGCTTTAACCAATCCCTTTCCACCATTAAGGAGAAACGAACATGAGTAGATATAAATGAAAAAATAACAGCTTAAAAAATGAAAGAGCAATAGGCAGAAATAACATTAATACTCATTAGTTGCTGAAATCTCCTGGGCTCCCCGGGGACAAAGAGGAGCTCACAGTGGCGGAGGGACCCCAGTACGGAGTGGGGGGAGGCAAAGGGAAAATGGCATCAACGCCCCAGCCTCTCCACCAGTGGCCACTCTGCCAATAAAGGCAGCCACCATGCTGGAGACTGGCACTTGGTCAAGGGCTGGAGCTTGGGCCTTCGCCTTCCTCTCAGGAGAAGACAGCAGGGCAGCTGGCTGGGGAAACTTGGTTCTTTCTCACCTTGGCCAGGCACTGCTGGCGGGCTGGGGTGACCACAGGAGCAGGGCCGCTCTGCTCATCTTGCTTTGATGGTGGCTGCCAACAGGCACTTGTGGAATTTGCCCTGAGGATGTCCAGGACTGTGAAATGTAGCCTCTGGAAAAAAAACCCACTCATATCAACCCCTGAAAAAAACAGAAAAGAAAACCCAAAAAGGGAGCCTCCATCTGCACTGCCTCAACTCTATGGCAAAAGTCAAAAGGCAAGAGAGCTCTGCTTGGGGGACTCTGACTTTTACAAGGGACTGGAACTCCTCTGCCCCTTGGTTCTGGTTCCTGCTGTGTGACCTGAAAGAAACAGTGACAATTTTGGGCACAGATAAAGAATACAATAACACTTTGGGTTACCCTGGGCATTGACAAATCCGGTTTTTGAATTATAATTCTGTTTTAGTCATCATGTTAGCATCTTTCTGTTAAAATACAGAGTATTGCAGATGGTTGAAGTGATGATAATAACTTTCTCTTGCCTGTGGCCAGCCTTTGTTGTAGTGGCAAGTTTGTAAAGATTGCTGTAGTTGGGTAAGTAAAAAAAAAGGTCATAAGAGTGTGTCAGATTGAACAGGTGAAAAGAACAAGTGACGTAGGTTTTTAAAAAGCACATGCATTAAACTCCCAGAACTTATGCGTGCACCCTGTACTGAGCCACACAAGCCTTGGAGGAGGAGTTCAGTCATTAATACCAACATTCTTCACCATTTAGTTGGGCTCACTTGTCCAGTTAGTGATTTGTGTCCATCTAGGTTGGATTTTACAAATCTCCATTTTCAATGTCTTTCTCTCGTATATGATTCTGTTTTCTCCTTATCTGTTTTCTTCATTCTGATTGGGTTTTTTTTTCCTAAATTTGCTCTACTGATCTCTCCATATGCTTTCATTTCCTTCTTCTATGTTCATCATATAGTTTCTGGTCACTTCTCAAAGTTGCCCTTACGCAAATTCTTCTCATTATTTGAAGGAACACATTATAATTTCTTTCTGCTTTAGTTTTCTGCCATTCTCCATTGAAATTGCTGAAGTATTTTAATTGTTTAAATAATAATAAGTATTGACACCTTCTAGTAATTCTAATGTTAGAGTATTTTGCAAAATGCTGATAAAAATTTTGAAATAAAGGAGTTTTGAAACCAACTTCTTATATTTATACTTTCCATTTTACAATCTTTCACATTATTTTATTTGCTCTCTGATTTAATGTATAACAAAATTTATATATGTAATGGTATTTAATAAAGATGGAGATTGAAAGTATTCCAATTTTTGTTTCTATGTGTGTGATAGACTCCAACAGAGAAAATAGATGATACTGAGCTTGATTTGACATCAGATTTCTCTGAAATAATAGAAATTATGGAAGACTATCTGAAACCAACACTGTCACAGTTTGATTTTTCTGCTATCAGGTAAGACATATTGACTTATTATGATTGGTGTGAACAGAACTGTGACTCAAGTCCCTCAAATATAGGAATGGTTTTAGTAAGGATACCCTATTGAATGAATGTTTCATGTCTTGAAAGAGAGTCTATTCAGAATATGTCAGACTAAGAGAGTGAGCAGTATGATAGACCAATGGCCATATCTGACAAGCGCTGTTCTCCAGCTTCAGTTATACTTAAGCTCAAGATGCAACATTATCGTCAAACTGTTTAAAGACAGGATTTCTAAAGGACAGGAACGCCAATGGGAGTGTGTCGTTTGTGTAAAATTTCACTGAAACTGAAGCAGAAATTGAAGCTGATAATATTTTCCATTAATTTCCTCTTCCCAGAGCATCCCAGTGTATATCAGTTTCCACAGCTGAAACAGGAAAAAAGAAAATGAAAGAAAAGGACACCAAACAAGCTGGAGTGCAGGGTATGTGCTTCCATGCCTAGTGTGTGTGTGTCTATGTGTGTGGACAGATACCAAAATCTAGTAATTTCAGTTTTAATTTTATTTAAAACAGAGGGCAAAGGCTTTACCATTGTTTTTCTCAGTTTCATTCTCTTTATCAAGTCAAATATTTCAGTACTTTAAAAACAAATTTAGATGCTGAAGCAATACTTCTGCATCTATTTAGAGTCTTCCAAATCATGTAGTCTGTAGACACTTAAATGAAACGGCTTTATCACTAACCAATTTTTCAGGAGAAAAGCTAGAATAAAGAACTTAAGATTAAGTCAGTAGATATCATTGTTTTGCTTTTTTGTTTTGGTTTTATCTTTATGGACTCTCACAAGTTGTTAGCTTGCATACAAACCTAATGCTACAGTATGTCTCTAAACACATCTCAAGAATACTCCTGCAAAAACTGGATAAATTGTTTCCCATGCATCTGCTCCTTCTCTAGAAACAGATGTAAGAGCAGAATAGATTCTTTTCTTCTGTAGAACAGAAATATTGCCATAATAATATTTAGTACTTTTTTCCTAAATAACAGAAACAAAATGTTTCTACAGAACAACACGGTATTGGATAAGAGTTCCTTTACAACTCTCTTCTGTTTATCCAGTCACTGCTGCGGCAATTTTGTATTTCCAAGCACTGTTTTCCTGAGTGTATTGCATATACTTGGACTTGGACCTGAGATGGTTAGTTATTAATACAGGGATATTTTTCCCTCTGAAGAACTGGTGTTAACAAGTGCATAGGAATTTGAGTACATCTTAAGAGTAATGATATAAAAAGAAATATTTTTTTCTTAATGCTCTTAATCCACAGTACAGTGAAGTCCATGTGTCATATAATGCAGGAAACAGGTTTTTACATCTAATTGCAATTGTTTATATAGAAACTGATATCTAAATCTCAGTCATGTCCTGTCACATCTCTTTAGATACACCTGTGGATTCAGGATTGTGTGTGGTATTACTATGGGATGCGTTATTTATGGAATTGCCTTTGGAAGCTCTGAGTATATTTAAAGAGGAAGGAGTAAGTTCTGTTTCCAGAGATTTTTCTCTCCAGCTTCTCTACAATCGACTACATTGGACTGAGTCAGGTACTATTGGATAAACATTTTTTCCTTTGGCGTAATGATACTTAAAAATTTAAATATGAATTACGGTGTCTATTTTACTGAAAGACAAGCACACACAATATGTTTCCAGTATTTTAGGTGGACTAGATAGTGCAGTAGACTTTTTTCAAGAAAGTACAGGCTGATTATAGGTGCAGCGGTAGCTAATTTAAAATAACCTTGACACATTAAAGAATTATGTAAAACTCAGTGGAATCTAAAATTATAAACACATTTACACGCATATTGTTAAAATTTCAAAGCTATTTTCAGCTGCAATGAAAAAAAAGGAAGTAAGAATTTGCACTTCTGTAACTTTTCTTTAATATTGCTATTAGACTTTGCTTAAAATACCAAATCTAAAATCTTACTCTCTGAAATACTTTCCTCTCAGTTCTTGTGATACACCTGGGAAAAATCAAATCTACACAGGCTTTATGAGCCTTCCCTACTGCTGACACACCCTACATGAGCCCTTCAGCAAAATGAGGTTAAGTAAGGGAAAGTTGGTAAACTTGTCTTTATGGCATCGTAAAATTCATTTCTTAGATCTAGAAGTGAGTAATAAATGCAGGTACTAAGCCATTTTTGTATGAATCAAAGATACTTTCTATAATAAAAATGTTAAGCTGCATTTTTCTCATATGTAGGGAAAACCACATTATTAAAACTAGTTGGTCCAAGATAAAAAATAGACCAAGTGTAAAAAATCTCACTCTGTACCATGAAAGTATGCTGTTCCAGGAGGTTCTTGTATTGTGTCCATATCTGTAATATTTAGTAATATTTAGCCTCCAGTATAACCTGATCTCTCTTTTTCCATTTCACTCATTTTTTCTAAAGGGAAAGAACTGTAAGTGGTCTGAGATTAGAATATTTTCTGTTTTTCCCTTTTCAGAGTGGAACTGATTATGGTTGCATAATTTTAGAAGTAGATGAATGAGAGGAGGCATAGTTGAAAAGTCTCTGTCCTTGCAATTATGACAGAGGCCATTGAATGAGGAAACATGAGCAATATGATTTTAATGTGTATCTCAAGTTTCCATGAACTTCCAGGGCACTCAGTGATAACTGGCTGAGATGTATTCTGAGTGATAATTGTATATATGGTGAGAAACATAAGACAGTTTTCTGTGCTTTTTAAAATTCCCTTAAAGAAATTTTTTTTTAAAATAAATCCAATTCAAATATTAAGCTTATTTTTTCCTTTAGATCTCTGTGTGTCCCACAGAAACTTCAGTTATTACATTAACATAGCAATTAATAGATATGGTAAATGACTTAGAAAATGCTTTGATGATGACTGTTTAACTCTATCCAAAATTGGCAGTGTAATGAAGCATTTTCATGTCTAAGGGGTCACATCTCCTCCTTGTTTTCCACTTTAAAGCCTTTATTTTTAGGCTGGAAGGTTTGGGTAATGTCCTTACCCTGCTATGTTTTGAAATGAATTTTTATTTTTTCATTTCAATATGTTGTTCTGCTTACTATTTTTATTATTACTAGTAGTAGTACTATTACTACTACTACTTCATCATATTAAATGTACATAGTCTTTCAAGGACATTTACTTGCTAAAACTGCCTATATATTAATTATATATTTTTTTTATTTTCACAGAAACAGAATTTAAAAAAAAAGTTGAAGTATCTAAAGAAAAATACACAAAAGCTCATCAGAAAAAGAATGCCCAAATGGTGAACTTTCAACTTTTTTTTGTAAATGAGAACTTGCATAGAGAAGTGTGAAAGTGGGTTGCACAGAAGCTCATTATGTGTGCTAGAATTCTGAAGTGGAATGAATGTCACATAAGTTCATAAGAATCTTGCTTCCTGCTGAATTTGCAGGGGCTTTTTCTTTGAAAAATCACACTTCATAAATGGGGCATATTTAATAGGCCACAAATTAAACTGCTTAAAGTTACTGAAAATAATTTCTACAACAAAATATTGCATTTTATATAGTGAATACATATGTTTTTATAAATCTGTATTTATATTTGCATATATATCTCCATATGTGCACACGTGTGTGTATATATGTGTAATAGATGTATATGCACTGTAGCTAATGAAGATTAGTTTATTAATTTCCACTGACAGTTGAGTACCATGATGCTTTTAAGCCCAGATTCAAACTTTTTTTGTTGTTTGAGGTCTTTCTCTTAGTTGTTTGACACCAAGTATGCAATGCTGTTAGTATTTAATTGAAATTTTAACACATAAGAAAATACGTATTCTTTTCAATTGTAGGCACCAATGAATCATGATCTACCTTCTGATTGCTTGCCTGTTGATACACGTAATTTTAAATGTATCCTTTCATAACCTATTGGCTAAGTGTATCAGCTAAATTTCTTTCTTTTGTTATTTGAATAATATTATTTATGATTAACTGTTCATCAGATATTGTTGACCCCTATAATGAAGGAAGAGAAGCAGGTAATCTAAATGAAATAATTTATTCACAGTCTACCCATGGCATTTACAATTGTTTCGTAGAAAAAATGAAGTCATGACATCAAGATGTTGGCAAAAAAGCATTGCATTTCGTCAGAACAGCACAGCTTATCACCTGTAAATGGTGTAACAGTACCTGTACTGGTATCACAGTTAATGGAGGTTTTTAGTTAAATCACAGAAAGACAGACTGGTTTGAGTTGGAAGGGACCTATAGGCTCATCTCATTCCACCCCCTGCCACAGGCAGGGACACCTTCCAATAACCCAGGAATGGAATCCCAGCCCCAATGTCCAGCCTGGCCTTGGGCACTGCCAGGGATCCAGGGGCAGCCCCAGCTGCTCTGGGCACCTGTGCCAGGGCCTGCCCACCCTGCCAGGAAAGACTTTCTTTCTGATATCTACCCTAAACCAATGATGTTTCAGTGTGAAGCCATACACCCTTGTCCTGTCACTACATGCTCTTGTAAATAGTCTCTCTCCATTTGTCTTGTTGGCTCCCTTCAGGTGTTGAAGTAGTTATGAAGTCTAAACATAATGCAAAAGAAGCTACAGAACAATCAGTAGCATAACAGAGTGTGTCTCCATGCGTTTGCAGTTCTCCTTCACAGCAGTTCAATGTAAAACACTTTATGTGCTCAATATCTGACTCTAGAGTGTACCTTTTAACTTACACTAGTATGAAAATGTAGTCAAAAGGAGAAAATTATTCATCATTAAATGTGCAATATCCTTGGAGAGAAGAGTTTTCTGAAATCAGGACTCTGGAAACTCAGTTAGTTTATCCCCCCACGTCCTCTCTGAGCCTCTGCAACAGAACCGTATGAGCAGTACTGGTTTGCAGTTCTTTATCCTTTTTTCGGGGCATCTAAATTTTTTTCTTTGTGTCCTTAACCTATCTACCAAATAATCCTTGTTCATTATAAAAGACACCTTTCAAATGGGCATCCCAATTTTACTCTGAAAACGTCACAATTGTTTTAATTTTAAAAGCCAGGCTTAGGTTTCAATCTAATGATGACCTAAAACCCCCTAAATATGATAGTGACATTTTAAAGTTGTTGAAGTTGAGATTGCCCAATATAGTTTGTAGTATGTTACATTCATAATGTTGAAATTCTCTTGTTACAGAAGGTTCAAGTCCTTCCCACAAAATAAAGGAAATCCTAGAAAAATACCATGACCTATTTACACTGCAGTGGGAAGGTGTCATTGGCAATATGTGTGCTCCAAGGTATGTAATATTCTATCTGCTTTCTTGTTTTATCCGTATTTCTTGTTTAAAATTGTGCTTGTTGTCAGAGACATTGTTCATAAAATAAGGTCACATTTTGCTGAGCTGATAAACACATAGTTTAAACTATTGTTGTTGTATCAAACACAGATCTAGGTTTATAGACAGAACATTTTAGGGATCTGAAATAAAGTGCCACAAAATGATTTAGCCAGGTTGGTTTTGTCAAACTTGCTGTATATGCAAATAATCTAACTTTGATAGAAAGTCATCTGGTGCAGTCTTTGATGAATACACATATGTGAGCGTAAGTGTAATTTCTGATTTTGCTCATTATTTTTTTTTAAATCCAAGTAGTAAAACCATAGCATCTCTGTGCACCTTCAGTCATCTGTAAATGGGAGTGCAGATTTCAGAAGCAGAGTAGTGAAGGTACATCACACAGTTTCCAATTTCAAACATTGATCATGAAGCTAATACCATTTTATGGAGTCTACTCATAAACACACTTTGTAGTTTTTATAGAAATTATATAAGAAATTATATAGAAATTAAAGAAATGCTTTACTTTTAAGATCATAGCCATAGAGGAATAAAAGGGATCTCAAGAGGTCAAACAGTGACAAGCCCTATGAGACAACATGGCCATCACTGGACCTTCCTTCCTAGCTGCTAGTTTAGCAGTCAGTCCTTTGGAATTTTCTCTACTTAGCTAATACCACTGAGTAGGTACTCTAGTATTTTTTTGTAACAGTGAAAAGCATTATTACCAAATTACAGTTATATTACAGTTATATACAGTTATTACCAAATTGCAGTTTTTGCTGCCAGCTAACCTGATTATCCACATCTCTTTTCACAAACTAATTGCTCGTGTTCTGGTGGGTATATACATGACTACTCCCTTTGAATGTTAAACAAAGACTGTATTTTAAAGCTGTACAATACATGCATCAATGATTTTGTTTAAATTTTGGGATTTTTTTGATGGAGAGGCTGGCATTTATCTAAAAATACACTATGCCTCTTGCTCATTATGAGATGTTACTGACTAATCATTTTAATACAAGAGTATAGCATTAATGATCCATAGGAGTTACTACACTTCTTATAGAATTCTGCAGCCGTGTTTGTCTTCTTGTTTTGCATGCTGACTTTTGCCATAATTATTTCTGGAGTAATTAGCGCTAAAGTGTTTGCTATGGATAATTTCTGAAAAGTATTCTTGTAAAACAGTAACATTGAAGTAACTTTCTTCTTCCTTCCTTTCAGCCAAGCTAAATGGGAGCAGCTGCTCACAAACTGTAGTGCATTTCTGTTCTATGGGATGGAGAGATTCATGTCTCATGTGTTGCTTAATTGGTTGGCTGCTATGAACATCCCAAGTAAGATAAGCAAATCCAGCTTTTTTTCCTAGATATGTCCTACTGTATGATTATCACAGTATTGATGTTGGCAATTAAGGGCTTTTTTCTAGATCCAGGGTTTTTAGTCAGAAAACCTTTGTATTATGTAGGTTTTATTTTGTTGCACAGCTTTCTTGTTAGTCCTCACAAATAAGCTTAGTCCTTCTTCACTTCCATGTGTTGGAATTTCTCAGGTTTCAAAAATCAAGTCATCATCTCATGGTTTTCTCAGTAAACATTCTCCTTTGGAATTTAGTATTTGGTTGCAAGGTATTTTTTAATGGTAAGGACAACCTCTGCAGTGCCACTTCAAAATTGATGAGTCTCTGCTGAAGCAAACGAGAATTGTCCATTAGGCCTGGGTTAATGCTGAAGGATTACTCTGGTATTACAGAGTAATCTGCATTTGCAGACTCTGAGAAGGTATTTTTTTTCTGTTTCTTCACAACTAATTAGTCTTTTCAGGACTGGTTTTTCAGATTCACAATTTTCCTTTCTTCTCCTGTTTTCCTTGAACATCTGGAAGAAGTTTGACTTCAGAGTTGTGCTGAATTTGTCAGGATAGCTATATTTTGTTGACCTGTTAAAGTGAGGAGAGTACACATCAGATTGTGAAGCCCTGTAGAAAAACAGGAAGCTTCTTCATGAAGCTTTGATTTTAAAACTGATTTAAATATTTATATGTAAATATTACAAGAAATAAGAAAATATATTTTCTATATACATGGTTCATGTCTGAAGATGTTGTTTCAGGTATCGATAGACCAGGTATTTACAGGTCTGGCAACTTTTGGAAAGCTGTTAAACCTTGCCCTTTGTCCCACTCTTAAAATATGTCAGGATTAATTCTGAGATTTCTGAAAGCTCTAACCTAGACCAAATATTATTAAGTATTCAGTTTGGACATTTACATGATTAAATAAAATCTATCATTGCTAAATCTGAGCATGGGACCAGGCTGACAAAAAGAATGCAGTGTTTTAACAAATCCTGAAATGCAAGACTATGATACAAATTAACCTTGCTCCATGCAGGGTGTAATTTGGGAAAGTGTAGTGGGAGATATTATACTTCAGGGATCAGGTAATCATTAATAAGTTAAGGTATGACTGCTTAAGGAGCAGAGTTACAGAACAAACTCGGGAGATGGATCACAAATTAAACAATGTACCCTCGCTAGTGTTAAAAACCCCCAAAGGTCTATAGGGGTAGCTATACAGGAGTGTCATGTGCAAAGCTGTGTGAAATAATTTTCCACTCTACATTGTATTCCAAAGTTCTCAACTGGAGAAAAATATTGACCACATAGTAAGTTATTGCTAGAGAACATTAGCAGTGGTCAGAAGGCTGCACCACAGCTTGTGTGCTTAGTTTTATTAATAAATATATATACACATTGATAAGTTTATATGCATTTAAAACATACTTTCAGGGGAAAGACTGACATATTGAGAGGAGACATGATGGAAGTTTTAAATGTGTCAAAGACTTTCCAGGCAGAAAAGTAATTTACTTCTCATCTGCTTGTGTTAGGAGAATAAGAAACAGATCTAAGCTACAGAAAACCAAACAGTAGGCAAAACATTTTAATTCTGAGAGTATTCTAAGTTATTTCACTGGAAACCTTTAAGGAAAATAAGGCATGTTAGGGATGTAACTTGGTTGTGAGCTATGGAGAGGAGCTGTGGTATAAAAAGAATTCAATACCTGCATACCATCAACTCTTCCAGGAGTTTATAACTACAGAGTTAGGTCATACAGGTCACTGGCTGTAATAAGATGGTCTGTGGACTCCATTACCAATTATGCTAATGTGGCATAGGAAAAACATCCTGCAAAACACTATGGAAAAGTGTAGCAAAATTACATTAAATAATACTAGGATGACTTCATTAGTGTAAATTTACATAATAATTGACAATTGCGGCTGAAATACGTAGATTTTGTACTGGTGGTTTAGACTATGTTCAAGAAAGTAATTAACTTACAAAAAGCCAATAATTTAATTCTTATGCTGGGCATTATTGTTAGTGCAAACACCATTGCTCTATTTTTTTCTAGAATGCCGTTTGGTGATTCTTCTCGATCTGGTACGATCACAGCAAAGTTACCAAAGAATTACAAACTCTGATACCCACAAAAGGTAGGTAAAGTCAATTTCAGTAAAGTCCACAATAAGGCAGATTATTTGAAAAAAAAGTTAAAATTTAGAGTTATGAATATTATCCTTTACTTTTGCAAGTAAAAGAGCTTATTTATAGGACTAAATAGGATGAAAGCTCTATTAGAAGGCAATGATAAGAAAATATGACACAGAAACCTTGTTATATTACACATACCCCACAAGTCTGAGGGCAAGAGTCTCAAAATGTTCTAACTGAATATATAAAATTTTTCTTTAACAAATAAACTGCTAAGAGTCCCTCTGAGGGTTCATACATGGAAGAGTTTAACAATCAGACAGATTTTTGTTTAAATTAATTATTATGACATTACATAACCTGTTCAGATTTTTTAATGTTAATTGCAGCGCTTTTTTATCTTTAAAAGCATCTCAGTATTTTTGTTGCTTTTAAGTCGACAGCGGGTAGGGTTTACATTCTTCTATTTCATGTCTATTATGAATTCTTGACAGATGCCACAGTGTCTTAGTTTTATTCATTAATTATTCAGTCCATGCTGAATTTTCAGATTACCTGCTCATACTCCTGAGGGATGAGATGCCTTGCAGAGGGATGTAGATAGATTGGAGCATTGGGCAATTGACAGTGACATGAAATTTAACAAGAGCAAATGACAGACTCTTCACTGGTGATGAAGTAATGCTGGACACAAGTGTAAACTTGGAGAGGGGTGGCTGCAGCCCTGCAGAAAGGCACTTGGGGCTGAGCCAACAGTGTGCCTGGGCAGCAAGTGAACAAAGCACACCCTGGGGACATAAATATTTCTTGGCTTTTCTAACTATTCATTCCATGAAGAAAAAATAGAAAACAAATTCTCTAAAAATACTGTTTAGTTAGTGCAACAATGCATAAGTTAACTCCAGTTGTGTGTAAAATAGGTTATACACATACCTAGATATGTAAATATGCAGATGTCTGAGTGGATAAACAAACTCCTGTTTATGATCCTTGTTTTTGATCCCAAACAGCCATTTCCTAAAATAAACCAAAACACAATTCCTTAAACTAGTTTTAGTTTTTCAAACTCAAAAATTTTGAAGTCTCAGTTTAATAGTTTGGTGAATTTATCAATAAGAGTTACATGTTTAAGTCTAAAAGCTTTCTGAAAATTTAGAATAACATTAATTTAAAAATGAGTCACATAAACTCCATAGACAATCAGACAACATCTCCCCAAAAGTTTGCAGAAAACTTATATTATCGTTTACTTATATTTTGATGAAGTTACTATGAAAAGCAGATCTGAATAAAACCAAAATGCAACTTTTTATTTACTGCAATGTTTTTACTTTCAACCATAGAGTATCACTCCCCTTTTATGACTAAAGTAATTATGCCAAAGATACCTACTGAAATATTCATCAGTAAAAACTCAAATCCCACATTGCACGTGATTCACTTTTAAGCCTCCAAATCAACGCCATACTTATGACAAAGGACAAGGTTTCGGTTCCTGCAATATTTTATGTCTAAACATGCATTTTCACACCTGATTCCCAGTATTTTGACTGCCTTATAAAATTGTTATTCTACAATGTTTTGTAAAAGTTAGGGTGTTACTACTCCTTTCTGATTTCCAGAGATGTCCAGAACTATAGTAAAATGAAAGAGAGTAAACCCCATGGTAAAATTGCATCACGAAAAAATGTAGAGAGTTTACCTGAATTCACTGTATTAAATTCAAAGTGCTGTATGAATGTTAGAAAACATTTTATGCTCAGCATACAAGAAAATGCACTCTGATATTCCTTCTCCTTCTATTAAAAAGCATTGTATATTTGGTTATATTTTTTATACATTATGTACATTTTCCTTTTATTGATCTTGCCGTTCTGATCTTCTTTAGCTGTCTGCGTATTGCTCTAGAGAGACCAACAGAGACAGCAATGCTTCTGAGCCTTACAGGTGTTGGTTCTGTCATAGCCCCCCAGTGGTACACAAGCTTGGAGGAGAATGCAGAAAGGCTGGAGACCTTGTTTGAGAGTGAGTGTTTGTGTTTGTGTCAGCTTGGGCTCGAATTGCTTCAGGCACTCGCGTGTGTGCGCTCAGGGACTGGCTGTATCTACCTGTCTCCCGTCTCTTCTTTCTTTGCTCCTTCCCAAATTCTGCCTGGAGTTTCCATAGGGGGTGAACTGCATGCAGGAGCCGTCATGTGGGTGACAGGTTGATCTTTCATACAGAACAGTAACCTACTTAAAACAGGTTTGCTGGGGTGTTTGCTGATGGTCATATGGTAAGAATAGGATTTATATGGTGAGAAGCAGTACCCTAGGACATGGCCATCTGTAGTTACATAAACTATGGGGAAAAAATCCCCTGGATTTAACTTACATCTACACAGATACATTGCTTAAATCTGTAATGGTATCCTTTTCCATTAAGTTTTAAATGTGAAAGCACCAGGCTGTATTGTTGATATTTTCTTGTTTTTCAAAACTTTCAAAACTTAAAATAAAAGCTCACAGAAACTAACATTTCTTTCCAGATTTGCTGAGCTTTGGTAAAATGACTGGGCAGACAGTTCGTGTTCTTCAGAATAGCAGAAATCACAGGAGAAGGGATTCCATTGAAAGTAAGAATTAAAAGGCTTAGTATGAAAGATTGGCTGTAAGCACTAACTAGAACCTTTAGATGGATAGTTCATGGGTATAAGCTACTACAATTTTCTCAGAAACTCCTTAAAAGAGCTGAGAGCTGGAAGACCACTGATACAATATCATAATTGGAGTAGCTGTATTTTATATAAATAAAATTTTGAGGAGGTTTTGACATAGCTGACCAAAAGCTAAAATGTTTTCTCCACAGGAAAAATAAAGTAGTGTTACTAACAAGGTACATGAGGAGCACAACATAAACAATATAAATGGTACGGGATTATAAACTGCAAAAGGATCAGTAGGAGCTGCCGTGATTTTAGACAGTCTGCTTTGTACAGGGCATACTAGACATAAGAAATATCTGGCATCTGGTTGGAGAGTGGGGAAGAATTTCTGAGTAAAACAATTTCTAATATACTGTCTATAAAATTATACTGCTGTTTTTCAGTGTATAGGACTTACCTTTCAAAATAAGGTTTATTTATAGCTTGCGCTGTCATAGAATTGAAGAAAGAACTCAGATCAGAAATATTTCCTAGTTTTGTTTTTCTTTCAGAAAATGCTTCTTCAATATAGTGACAGTTGTTAATACTTTTAAAAGAATGTAAAAGAACCACAAGTATTAATCAAGGAGAAGATGTGTTAAATGACAGCACTTACAGCATTCTTATATATAGTCATAATCAGAAATAACAATGTTTTTTAATGTATTTTTATAGTGGATGCAGATTCTCACAGCTCTCCTGGAGACAAAATAGAAGAGCAGACTGTTTGCACTTCCTTGGATCTTCCTGCAACTCATCCATCATTTTTTAATTGTGTGCTCTATGGTTTACCCCACATGATTCTGATGTAATTTGTGTCAATCTTTTCATGCTGGGAATACCTACACTGATCTAAGGAGAGGTGAGATTAAGAAGATATTCACATTGTTGGTTTCTGTTTCAGATGTTAACAGTTTGATATCAGAGTTAGTGTCAGGAAAATAGAATATATAGTTCAGAAATTTCAGTTAGTACTCTAAGGGTTTTTTAACTTGGTGAATCCTTTAAAAATATGGTAAGTACCAACATATGTTAAAGAAAAGTGGGCTAGTATTTTTCAGCCTTGATGCATGAATGAAATTGGAATGTATCAATGTCAGTGCTTCCATTTGAAAAAATGTTTCCATGATGTATTTTATTTTCACATGGATGATTCACTAGGAAGATAGTTAAAAGATTTACCAAGCGACCTTATGCTGAATGAACTCATTGTTTTATATGGAAGTACTTGTAGTTTAATTAGAAAACAAGTTAGTGATAAATAAAATGGTTAATAATTTTTGCTTTCTTCGTTTTCCTGTGGTTTTCCTTAATAACATTCCCAACATAATTCCTTCCCAATATCCCACCCATCCCTTCCCTCTGGCACTGGGAGCCATTCCCTGGCTCCTGTCCCTCCATCCCTTGTCCCCAGTCCCTCTCCAGCTCTCCTGGAGCCCCTTCAGGCCCTGGCAGGGGCTCTGAGCTCTCCCTGGAGCTTCTCCTGTCCAGGTGAGCTCCCCCAG